ATAGGAACCAGAGGTCCCCTTGTCTACAACACTAATATAGCCATTTTATTTTCTATCCGAAATCACCAGGAAACCTACACACGTCTCAGTTTTTATATGTAATGCTGATAATGGTAATATAGTGGTGGGTTTCTTTGGGAACTATTTTGCCTTACAGCACCCTGCATGTACCTCTCCACCATTAATGGCTTTAAAAAAATACATTTTAGGCCAAAATTCTATCTCAAAACTATCGTAAAACAATGTCAGGCAATGAATTTGTGACCATTTCATGTAATAACTTCCTGTATAGTAGCTTTTAGAGGCATTAAACTTTTCAGACGTCTGGTTCCTATCACCACCACAACAATTCTGACTTCATAAGTTTCTCTAAAACAGAACATGTCATGTCAAACCACTCTGAATGACTTTGTTTACATCTTAACTATTGAACTTTGTAGCATATTTGGAAATTCAGTGGAATTCCCCTTGAAGAATTGGATTCGTTTTCCACATAGTTTACATTCACACTAATTTTCCTGGCCTCGTTTATACAGTGAGTATAACATGACCAAAGCGTGATGGCTGAAGGCTAAAGGCTAAAGTTGTGCTCTGCTGTGGTTCGTATCATGTTTGTCGGGTTGTGAAGTAGCTTTTACTGTTCTTTCCTGGCTTTGTTTACAACTTAACAATGAAATTATGCAGAATTTTTTAAAAATTTGGTGACATTGTCCTTTACATTAGTTTTGTGTTATGCAGACCACAGCAGCATTTACACTCTCATACAGAAGAACGTGGGAGTAACACAAAGATAGGCATCTTATTTGCGTTTGTGGTGGGTTAACTCACAATAGGGGATTGTGTTGTATGTGCGTTATCAGTGCCTGTGCGTCCAGTGTGGCCGTGCTGATCTGTAGCTGCCCATTCAAACTGAAGGCCAGAGCTGTTTGGACAAGCCATCCAGAGGAAGGTCAACCACACCACTCTCTTTTAGCCCTGTGAAAAGAGCCAGACCGTGGTGACCACCTGGTTTATAAAGGAGCGTGGGAGAGTGCTTTGAAGAAATCAAATTTACAGTAAATTTACTGTACACTGTTAGAAATAACGGTTCTGTGCTGGTACATTTTTCGTTTATCCAGGTATAAACAATGTAAATGTGCCCTCAAAGGTACAACAGTGGTTTTAAGGTCCAGTTGTGCACCTTAAATAAGTTTTTCAAGGTGAAAAGTTTGTATTTGTACCTTTTCATAACCGAATGTTTTAAAACAGAACAGTAAAATAAAAGCCTGGAGGCGAGACGGGGAGTGTGGAGTCAGTACAGCTTAGAAAATATCATTTCAGTGGATTAATGAATGAATTCAGGCTTCAAGATTCCGTTTTTAATCTGGTTTACAGCAGTTTTGAATGTGTGTGGGGTTGCTTATTATTCAGTAACTACAGGGACTTCAGTGCAAACTGATTGAGCTATTCTTAGTTTATAGAAGTATGTAATAAAATTTTGGGCCCTGGCTTGTCCAGAAATGAAACGAGGCTTATTAAACTCTCTTTATAATCTATGAGATCTACAATATACTCAGAAAAGCAACACGTCACATAATTTACCGCAATAACAGTACATCATACAGGGTCCGAAACCACATAGGCAAATCTATTTGACATTATTTAACAACTCCAGGCTGTCTAGACGGTCAGTAAAAGCGGTGGTCAGCCTATATCAGCTCTTTTCCTCTTTTACATGCACTCTCTCTCCGTCTCCTGTCCTTTATCGTGCTCCATAAAGCCCATGTATAGCGCGACACATTTATCTGCGTCTGCATGCCTCACCCATTCCAACACACGACGGCCTCCGCCGCTTCTAAAAGAAACGGACTGCGGCCCACTTTATCTGCATGAGTGTGTTTAAGTGTATGAGAGCGTGTGTGTGAGGGTGTACCTTATTTTACTGTCCTCCTGGGGACAGAAATATTCCACTGTGATAGGAAAAGATCATTCTGACATCGGGAATGACGTTTTACTGGGAAAAAGGCTCCACAGAATGCAGCTTGAAAAGAGCCATCACTGAGGTCACAGCTAGGGCTAAGTTTAGGTTTAACTGCGGAGATGTGAGTCGGTCGGTTAGCTAGAGAAATATGAAGGCTGATGGATGTGGCCATAAACGATTTTAAGAGTTTTATGTTCTGTTTTAAAACATTATTGGTTTATGAAGAGGTACAAATACGAACTTTTCACCTGAGAAAAACATATTTAAGGTTCACAACTGGAACTTAAAACCACTGTTGTACCTTTGACAATACATTTACGTTGTTTGTACCTTGATGAACGAAAAATGTACCTGCACAGAACCTTATATATATATATATATATGTATGTATAATTACATATATATATATATATATATATATATATATATATGTATGTATAATTACATATATATATAATAAATATGGGATATATACATGACCACATGTCCTGACAAGATATAAAAACAAGTATGCATGTATGAGAGCGTGTGTTAATGCACTGGGGCTATTCTGATGCTGTAGGTGTCGGTGGTTTATTGCAGAGGCCGGGCTGCTTCGATCCAGAACCGGTTCTGACAGGTTTTGGCTGGCTGCTCCAGTCAGATGAGGGCTTCCTGTGTGTGTGTTTGTGTGTGTGTGTGTGTGTGTGTGTGTGAGCGCTGTCTCTGTCCCACACGCACACCCCTCCTCTCAGTGATGTCTGTACACTCTCGACTCCGTCTGAGCTCAGGCTTAATATAGCAAGTGATGCAAATCCACAGGGATGTACCACTGCATCTCCAATACAGTCAGCACGCTCACACACACACACACACACAAACACACACATATGCACGGTCATAAACACAGCTGTAAATAAACATACAGTATATAGATAAATGTGTACGTGCACAGACATTTAGTCACATGCATATACCAGCTCTTAATCCTCCGCTCAATAAAGACCAAGCTATAGTTTAGTGTGTGGGTTATGCTGTGTGTGTGTGTGTGTGTGTGTGTGTGTGTGTGTGTACGTATGTAAACTCATCTGTATTGATCTCCTCCTCCACTTCCTGTGCAGAAGGTCGTGCATAACCATCAGATCACTTATCCTGCAATGTTCCGGTTGCCACGGTGACGTAGTCAGGAACAGAGCTTTAATCATTAATGTGACCCCATCAGGACCCGACTGAACACATCAGGTTCCGTCATGTTTGGACATCGTTTTCCAAATCTGACCGAACCCGACTGGGTTCACTTTTTTTACAGGTCCTCACAGTCGACCTCCTGCTTCAGGTCTAGGGATCCACCGATCGTGAATTTTTATGGCTGATTCTGATTCTGGTCATGATTTCTTTACAGCCAAATTGCCCAGTGGCCAATTTTTATTAGCCTTTGTTTTACACAGAAGCTCTCACTGGGTGGGCTGTTGTGGGCAAACTTGCAACATAAACATTATTTGCTCTTTAATGGACCAAACGGGCACTTTAAAAGTAAAATCAGTTCCCTGTTGAAATAACATGAATCAAATAAAGTGCTGTATTGAAAGTAACAGGCTACTGGCTGTTCAGCACAATGACTAATGTATGATAATTCTGCAGTGTTTTGGTATCAGTGTAGCAGCTACATTCAAATACAGTGTGAGTTCGCTTACCCAGCTGACATCATTGACCTCATAAAATTGCCCACACCATCTGCCGAAATAAAAACTGACCAATTGCCGATTTCGTCTTTTGAGTGATTCCAGTCTTGGCTGATGATCATCTGGTCAAGTTTAATTCAGCAGTTTGAGTGATGATGGGCCTTTTTCGGGTCAGTTTCTGACAGAACGTTGTTGGGCTTGGGTCACTTTCGGACTCAAATCTTGATACTGGTCGAGCTCCTCCAGAAAACGATTACAGCTCTAGTCAGGAGCAGCCAGTTTTGTCTTGATTGACGTCACAAACAGCCAATTAGAGTGAGTTATTAGCACTTCATTAAAGACATAATTGGAGCCGAATGGAGCGGCAGCTGCAGATCGCTGCAGCTTCAGTAGCATTGCAGTTACAAGCTGTTGTGTTCCAGTGTTGTTAACCCCTTAATCTTCATCTGAAGCTTTGCTGTTCAGTAGTTACATGGAAAACAGTAGAAATGGAAATATTCTAAAGTTATAGAAGAGAGGAATGGAAGTGATCTTTATTGGTTTGCAGTACACGTCTATGGTGAAGGCTAGCACGAGCTTTCAAGCTGCTGCTAATGTAGTGTCATTGGACAGCTCAACACACTTGGAGGAGGACACTAAATGAAAACTTTGACACATCAGCTGACAGACGCCTTCACTGTCTACCATCGCGCTGAGTAATGGGGAGGAGGACAAACACGCTCGCTTGGACTCCTGGCCACGGATCTCTGTGGCATCACTGGGGATTAAACTCATAATGTCCTGATGGGGCAGCACTTATACAGTGACCGTTAAAGCTAAACTTACCCAAAAGATTAGAGCAGCCGTTTTATGTGCAAGAAAGCTTTGTATGTATTTTCTTCTTCATCGAAAAACAGCTGTGAAAATCAAACATTATGTCTCTCCCAAATGGTTAATATGCTGCACTGCACAGGCTGAGTTGGAGTTTCTCTCCTTTCTGTTAGCAGAAAGTTTGGCTCTCATTCTGTTCCTTTTATTTTGCACGTGAAGAGCCCACACACAGGTTCATTTTTAGTTCAGTGGGAGTCCAAGATGGTTTTAGAAAGGTGTGGTACCTCTCTTTCTGTCTGTCTCTCTGTCTCTGTCTCTGTTTCTGTCTCTGTCTCTCTCTCCTTGGCGTCTCTCAGTCAGGCTTATTTTCAGTCTTTTGCCCGGCAGCCAGACTGATAAAACCGCAGCGTGTAATGGGGTGTCTGTCTGGATTGTGTACTATGTTAGAGTAGATTTTAGCAGCCCCTGTGAGCGGGGGGCCTGAGACCCCCCTCTATATGCGTGTATGTGTGTACAGTAGATACTGGGTTACAGTAGCTGATCCGCTCACTGCTCTCTCTGTGTTTCAGTCTGTCAGGTGTCAGTGAGGAGAACAGCAGGCTGATAGTGAAGAAGGCCATGGAGGATGACCCGGAGGTTCTGGTCAAGGGTGAGTCTGTTATCATTGTTATCACTGTTATTAATATTGATATTGGTCCCATTTTATTTGGATGTCCTCCAATAAATTATCTGTAGATGTTCAAATTGTTAACAAACCAATAGACGCAGGCTGAGGGTCAGGTTTAGGTTTTGGGTTGGGGCTGACATTAAGGTCAAGCTTGGGGTCAGTAAATTAAAGAGAATTTAATAGATATTTACTGAATGTAAGCCAAAGGGCTCATACCTTACTTGTCTGTGTAAGCTAATGATGACTCAGCAGAGTTTGACCACTGACCACATCATTTACCTGCACCACACATCCTTATTTGCCTAGATGACAGGTTTGAACTTATATTGTCGTGTCCAAAAAAAAAAGGCAGGCCAAATTTTTCTTTTACCGTAAATTAATGTAAAAATATTTTATTCCAAGTATTTTTGGATCATTTCTATCGGCCCATTCATTATGAAATGTCCACACAGTGTACAGGAGCTGCTGTGATCAGGTAAATAAAAGTAGGTAAAAAAGTAAAAGAGGGAGATATGTGTTTTTTTTGGAGAGCGACCGTGTGTTTCTATGTGTGTTGTGTGTGTGTGTGTGTGTGTGTGTGTGCGTGTGTGTGTGTGTGTGTATGTGATCTCACTGTGTGTGAATGTGCACTATTTGCTGCTACTGCACTGCTGGTGTGTAATGTGTAATAATAAATGAGTGCCGGGTGTCCGAATTCTCAGCCAGCCCGTCTCACAGTGGCCAAGAAAACTGCTGGACACGACAGTCTGTCTGCCTCATTCACACACACACATACACAGACACACACACACTCACATAGGGTCATACACATGTCCCTTATATGTTTATATATATATATACACACACACATATTATATAGATATGGGACATATTACTACATAGACACTACATAGATGTCCTTCATGTATTATACATATGTGTAGGTATGTATGTGTAATATATACTATATGAATTATATGTAAGTATTCATATATAGTAATAATAATATGTGTCATAAGTATTATATATAATGTTGCGTTCACATGTTTGCAGTAGATAAATGATGGCAAAGCAGATATTCTGCCACATTTCAGTGGAAACGTAGTGCGGACTGCAGCAGTAAGCAGAACGTTCCGCCAAGTGCATAGATATCTATATATAATTATAATATAAGCCATGTACATTATATGTCATTGGACTAAAACCTCAAATCTCCAAAGTAACTGTACAAGAGATGGAGGGAAAAACATGTAAGTCAATGCAAAGAGTCTTCATTCCAGGTCATTTTGAACATTTTCTATTGGTCCATTTATCATGAACTGTTCACACAATGGAAAATCCAAAAAATGCAGCTTTTGCAAGTAATAACACTTTTCTAAGTCTACAGTTTTTAGTCTAAACCTAAACCTAACATTAATCTCAACCTCAGTCACTAAAAAGAAATAAAAAATGGAGAATGGAGAAAATTTGTATCCTGAAAATGGACAATAATTCTCATACTGCCCCATGCAGGACGTTCTGAGTAAGCCAGTAACAGTGGCTGGTGAGCTTTTTTTCCTGTTACTGTGGTTTTGTTGTCATCTCTCACGTGCACACAGTCAAACACACACTCACTCTGACACGTAAACACACAGCACGCTCCACACACACTGGGCAGAAGCAGCAGGTGGTTCACATCTGCAGCAGAGCAGTGACGTTGTTGAAGCGTCATGGATTTTCATGGTTTTTCATGGTTTATTTTACTGAGCTGCTTTTTCCCACACTGGCGTTTGATTGGCCCAGACAGAACATGCAGCTAAGAGCTTAGAGTGGACATTTTTCCTGTGTGTGTGTGTGTGAGTGTGAGTGTGTTAGAGCTTTAATACTTGTCCAAACCTGATGAGCCCAGCTGCTCATGTCAGGTTAAGTCAGGTTCAGTCAAGTTCAGGCATCATCTCCCAAATACATATCCGGCTCAGGTTGGGTTAAAATTTCACTTTTTAGGTTTTAGAGCCCACTTTTAACAGATTTTACCCACTTCAGATTTACTCCTTGCTTTATTCTTGTCGAGGAAAAGGTGAAGGCAAGATTTCACCATCAAAATACAGACATAAGCTGCTCATGAATGCTCTAGTAGCTCTATTACTATCTACTTTTTAGATACGCTATTCAGTGCTGATTTGTGTGTAGTGAAGTCTTTACATAGACAGCTTTAAAATATAAAGTCTTTCCATGTAGAAATGCATTTTGTGGAAACCTAAATATTCAGTGGTGTGTGTTGTTAGTCTGCTGTTCTGTTCTGTCCTGTTGACGTTTTGTTTTTTGTTTATATGCAGGCTGGTTGTTGCGTGAGGTGTCAGGCGGTTGGCTCAGACAGAGGAGGTTCTGGTTCACGCTGACCGCAGACTCTTTGGACTGCTACAGTGGCCCGGAGAGAGACGCCCGCAGGCTGAGCATGCTCGTACTGACGTCACTGTGCTCCGTACTGTGGCCTGACAAACACACCTATAAACAGACAGGTAACGCTTACACACTGACCCGACCTCTCTTTAAAGCGACAGTACACAATTTTCCCCTTAACTGGCCAGCTGTTGAGTCGGGCCACGTAGAGTCGTTAAGTAATCACTAATAGACTTGCTTATGGGTTTCTGACACTGTATGACACACTGTTATCTTGGGCCTCTGTTCACGCCAAAAACAAAGGATGGATGTGATTTTTAACGCAGTGGAATCTTCACATCAAGTCCAATCAGTCACTTTTCAAAGCACTGCAACTAAAACATGCACTCTCTTGGTACACCCTATTCAACTAAAAAGACAAGGCATGAACTGACCAGAATACACCTAGGTAAACAAAAAAGGCTACATACAATGACAAAAACAAAACAAAAACTTGTTCTTTTCTGATTAATGCTGTTTCTCAATTTTGCCTTTTATTTGCTATGCAAAATGTGATCTAACACAGATTTTTGTAGATTTTTATTTACATTTTATCAACAGCGTACCCTAGCTAGCAAGACGACATTAAGTCACATATCAGATGCATTTCATTGTCACTGTGAATAAAACAAAACTATGGATCAGCAACAAGACACTCGAGTTAAACTCCACATTTTTACAATGTTTTGCTGGTCTTATAACTTTGGTGCCGTTATGCAAGCGAGATGAACTATCCTGCCACCATCCTGAGGTACATTGAGACACACGTTTAGCTTTGAACATAGTGAACTTAGGCTTGCGTGCAGCCATTCCTCCATGGAAACCCCTTACATGAAGCTCCCGATGCACAGTTCTTGTGCTTGTGTTGCTTCCAGGGGCGTTTCGGAGCTCCGTAGTGAGTGACGCAACAGAGGACAGTTGATTTTTATGTGCTATTTTTACAGGCCACGCGGTGTGAGTTTGTGTGGTCTGCTGCTTTGTGGCTGAGCTGTTGTTGCTCCTAAACACTTCCGCTTCACAACAGTAGCGCTCACAGTTGACCAGGGCAGATCTAGCAGGATAGAAATTTCATGAACTGACATGCGGCGCGTTTAAAGTCACTGAACTCGTCATTATGACCCAGTGTTTCAGTTTATTGGTTTTCATCTTTATGTGGAAGACAACATTAACGTGCAAACTAAGCTAACTTCAGACACCGAACATGTCTTGGCTGACTGAGGAAAAAAATTGTTAATCCGATTGTTAACTATAGCTTTAAGCCCATAAAAAGCACTGCACTGGAGCTCAGAGATTCCCAGTAAACTGAAGGCATGCAGGAGAGAACAGAGGGGGCTTTTGGGCTGTGGGCTTTGGTGAGTAATGGGACTAATTCGCTTCTTTCATGCGGGAATACACAGGAGTTGAGTCAGAGAAAGAGGGACTGTCTGGAAAGACAGAAATGAAAGAGAAAGAGAGATGGCCAGATTGAGAGGCATTGTTGTCTGGAGCGATGGAAGACTGACCAAAGTGGCTTAGTCATACTGAAGCATGGCTGAGAGTGCGTATGTGTGTGTGCAGATGGCCAGTATTCTGCTGGTGGACGCAATCACACTCATCCACCACACCCTACGTGTTTCCCAGACTGTATATGGGGATTTTCCTAGAAAGACAGTCTTGTTTGTTATGTGAATATGTACTGAAACAAGTCACGCAATGAATTGATTTAATTCAAATGTGTAGATCATTTCCATATGAATGCAATACATTACATGAACACAGTTACTGATAACAATATGTAAACTGAAAGAGAGTTGTGTTGATGTAGTACTTGGATATTTTAACCATTAGCAAGCTTTAATGAAGTTATTTACATTTTAAATGAAGTTTTAATTAAAGTTTAATTCAGTTTGTTTTAGTGAAAAACACTTGTAGCACAAAGTCAAACTGATAGTGTACAGAATATTGTAATACCAAAGTCTGGCAGTGGGCAACACTTGATTTCTATGCAATAAAAAAAAAAAAACGTGCAATTTTTAGTTTACTTTAATAATAGTTTTAGGTGAAAACTAAAGGGTTCAATTTAAAAAAAAAAGGCAAAACAAAAACCCTCCTCCAAATGGAAAATGATCCAATCACGATTTTTCTTCACGGTATCTACGCAAATTCAGCTAAGCAAGCTCTTCCATTGTTCAGGCCTTCAGGAGATGAACTGAATGCCTAACTCATCAGATTGACCACCATCGTAATTACCAATGTGTGGGACCCCTTTTTTTGAGAAAAAAACATTGTTTCTGACCTTCTGGAAGTCTTAGATGCATCACTGACTTAGAATACAAGCTGAAGTCCAACCAGGTTTCAGTGAGTTGTTAGGAATGAAAAACAGCAACAGCAGTTCTGTGGTTCGAATCTTTACTGAGAGAGTAAAAGTAATACAAGGTAAAATATATGTTAATGTCTGTTAGATGCCCTGTATAAATTGCCCGAGTTAAACTTCGAATGGCCAGAAAAGTTCATGTAAATTACTGTTAGCTTAGAGCTACATACTATTAGAATCACATAGGGATGCTAGCAGAAATAAGCATTACCATAGAGGTATTTTGACATTTATGACCAGAACTGAAGCTCTAACATCATGATTCACTGAAGTCTGAGGCTGTTTTTCTACAGTGGTGTTGGTGAACTTGTGGACCTCATTTTGGATCCAAACCCCAAAGAAACTTCTCACATGTTAAACTCGGTAGCTGCCTTTTGAAAGAATGTATGACACAAATGCCCAAATACTTTTGGGGCTATTACGTACACATTTCAGTAAATTCAGCGCAGCATTTTTCCAGTATGTGACCAGCGAAGGCCTTTAGTCACTCTAGAATTCTTAGTTTGTGACTCAGTTAGTTTGTTCAGTATAAATGACTGATGATTGCAAATATGTGTGTGTGTGTCTGTTGATTAGGTTACTGGAGTCTGACGGTCTATGGGCGGAAACACTGCTATAAGCTCTTCACTAAACACTTTAATGAGGCCGTGCACTGGGCATGTGCAGTACAGAAGGTCATCGACAGCAAAGCACCAGTGGAGACACCAACACAGCTACTAATACGGGACATAGAGGTGAGAACACACACACAGGTTTCTGTTTAATATGATGTCAGAGCATGGGGTCATAAATATGTTGCGTATGTGTAAAATATCTACATATGTATGTATGTATGTATGTATATACCCTTACATATATTTTATATGTAAGTGTCTAAAAGAAATAATAATAAGACCCGTCTTAAATAATTGTAATACTTATGCATATGACTTATTACATATGGGTCATACATATATATAAATATATATGGAGGTACCTATGTATAATAAAAATCTCCTAATCCTAATCCTAAACCCAAGCCTAACTTTACACTCAGTAACCAAAACTTTCTGCTTTTTGCTCTTTTTAAACAAATAAAACACAGAGCTTTTTGTCAGGAACATTTTTGTCCGCAAAATGTACAAAAACAAACAAACGCCACACACACAGCGTTCCTAATATGAGGCACAGAGGTGAGAACGCACCGTCCATCTTCTCGTGGTCATCCCTGTCTCCCCCCCACCATAATATTAGTAGTATGTTGGTCAGTGATACTGCACTAATAGCTGTGCTGGTGTGGTATCACTTCCCTCTGTAAATAGTGTGGGTGACTCTTCAGAATAGCCTCAGGCTGTAATGATGTAATGCTGCAGCTCTAGGGATGCTCTTTATTAATAGGCCGCTGGTTGCTATCCCACAGAACTCTGAGGAATTCAACTTAGACCACAGACAGACAGATTGACCGTCAGATGGCTAAACCATCAGACAGGAAAGACAGACAGACTCGCTCAGATTTGTGTACATATGAAATCACAATAGAAATGTGGTGATAAAGTGGGGCTGCAGTTACAGTTACTTCTATAATCGACAAACTATCAACTACTCAGTGAACTGCATTATGTCAGAACGTGGCCACACAAACGTATGATTTCTCCATTCTTGCCAACTTTACGTGCATTTGTTATTATTTTCATTTTGTCTGTATATTTATATATATATACAAATTATTAATTGTGTTTAGACTAATAATATCAGGTCTCAGAGTTTAACATCAGCCAACTGGCTATAACTAGACCAATAATATCCAGTGCTTCTTAGCTTGACTGGTCAGGCCTGTAAGGAGCGCATTCCACCGTGGAGACACAGACTGACCTCACTCGCCCTTTCCTCTCACACAGCTGACCTGAAAGAACAGAAACACATTCGCATGTAAAAGGCCACCAAAACACTCTCATACGCACATCTGTCCCTGATCAGCTCAGTCTAGGGGTCAGCAGGGGACGTGTGGAAGCTCAGCTGGAGTGCTTTACATTGAACCAAACAGTAGCTTGAGGAAACCTTATTTGATTTGATTTTGATGTGGATAAATTATTGCTTTAGGCAAAGACTAAATGAATTTCTCTCTCTGTAGGAGAACAAGTTTAATCCTGAGGTTGTGGAGCACATCTACCAGCACAACCCCATCCTCACTTACACACAGAGTCCGCTCTACGCCCCCCTGCTGCCTTTCCCCTATGGCAGCCTGGACCACACACGTGAGTAACACGCACACAGATGCTGACGCACACACACACAGACTCGCATGCATGTACAGATGCTGACGCGCACACACACACACAGACTCGCATGCATGTACAGATGCTGACGCACACACACACAGACTCGCATGCATGTACAGATGCTGACGCACACACACACACACAGACTCGCATGCATGGACAGATGCTGACGCACATACACAGTGCATAATCACCTGTAATAAAATGCTCCACACACAGCAAATCCATGCTCTGCCCACAAATGCATTGTTTTGTAGCTACTGTTTTGAAGTTGGACAAGCTTTACAGAAAGCTGGTAAAAATCTCATTCACACTAATGAACATCTGTAGCACATGATGTTTTTGTCCATATGTCTGTTAAATCTAAATCATTCACTATATTACTATGTGTTGCGTTTGTTTAGATTTGCCACAGTGAGTTATGAATGCTAAAACTAGGTAGATTGTAAACAAAAATGAAGTTCCCAGTATGCAGGTTTCCCAGCATTAGCTCAGTTACACAGCATAAACTACACCTGATCTGTCCCTGATGTATACCTGAACAACACCTGATTTATTCCTGATCTATCCAAGAACTACACCTGATCTATACCTAAACTACAACAATCTATTCCTGATCTGTCCAGGAACTACACCTGATCTATACCTGATCTACACCTGATTTATTCCTGATCTATCCAGGAACTACACCTTATCTATACCTGAACTACAACGATCTATTCCTGATCTGTCCAGCAACTACACCTGATCTATGCCTGATCTACACCTGATTTATTCCTGATCTATCCAGGAACTACACCTGATCTATACCTGAACTACAACCAATCTATTCCTGATCTATCCGGGAACTACATAAGATCTATACCTGAACAACACCTGATTTATTCCTGATCTTTCCCTGAACTACACCTGTTCTATACCTGACCTACACCTGATTTACTCCTGATCTATCCAGGAACTACATATGATCTATACCTGACCTACACCTGATTTATCCCTAATCCATACCAAAACTCTGTAAAGCATCTTCAACCTGGCATTAGTAGCAATGAAAGAACCTTTTTGAGGACAAAGCATGGATAGATCAACTGGTAGGCGAAAGGTGCCTCACATGTTCTAACCAACACAAATGATGCTCACACTGATGCACTCCTAAGTGTGTTTATTAATCATGATCTCTAACCGTGTGTGTATATATAGACATGGCAGGTAAAGGCTACACGTCGGTGCGTGAAGAGGCGGTGAGGCTGTTTAACTGTCTGCAGCAGCTGGAGTCGGCACCGGAGCCTGTTCCACTCATACAGGGCATCCTGCAGACCAGCCTGGACCTGCGACCACTGCGCGATGAGCTCTACTGCCAGACCATCAAACAGACCAGCGTGACTCACACAAACACAACCACGCAAACGGAGCCCAACCCACAGCTCCGTTACTGGCAGCTCCTGACCTGCATGAGCTGCACCTTCCTGCCCAGCAGCAGCGTGCTCAGATACCTGCGCTTTCACCTGAAGAGGTCAGTCACACATACACTAACTCCAACTGTCACAGTACACATGCAACTCATTATTAAACATTATTGCCAAAGCATCAGTAGCCAGGTTTCCAATCTGTTTATTTTATGCATATTTTGACATTTTGAATAAGAAAGACTTGGGGTTCCCGAGTGGTTCAGCCATCTAAGGCAGGGCGTCGGGTTTGGCCCTAGGGGATGTTTAATTTGGCTCACCAGAAAGTTATCCTAACCCTATTTTAGTTTGGAAGAACCCTTTAAGCTACAGTATGTAAGTTTTGGGGATTTGGAGACCTCTCTGGTGAAAATGTGTAATTGCACACAACGTGTGGAAGAACATTTCGCAATGTGGGTTGTGCATCGTACTCCTTCCCCAAGTGGATGAATCGGATGATTACAAGTGCGAGTGTTCAAAGAGAACATAAACAAAATGTGGCCTGTGCAAACGTTTTGGCACATTTTATATTTTATGTTGGTACATTTTATTTTGATGCTCTGCTGTAGATGCTTTGTAGACGCTCAGTCTGTCTTTAACTAGCATTCAACTAAGGGGGTAGTGGTTGAAAGTGGGGTGGGGGGGGTGCAATTATTTATTATTGGCCACCCCTAATTCGTTGGTGGTATGAAGCTGAAGTCGGCTATTCGCCAGCTTCTTGTACAAATCTTAAATGGTGCAGCAGTTTTGATGCCTGAGGTGCCAGAATGTAAGTGCTGCACCATTTAAGGTGGAACGGGAAATTTAGCTAGCTAGCTATCGAGACATCAGCATAGTACTAGTGATTTTTTAATGCTTGTTATGAAGAAAAGGACCAAAATACACTGAAATGACATTAAATTAAGATAATATGATGGTTATCGAAATTTCTAACAGAGAAAATTCTCACATTTGTGGGTTTCAGTGGTTGCGTGTGCAGCCATCTTGCCGGTTTTCCTTTTTTTCTCATAACACTCTGTTTGGAGTGAGTCTCTGAAAAACCTCCGTTTGGAGGGCCATGTAGTCCTAACACTTCGCCCTACCCCTCTATCTCAAAATCATGTAGTTTGACTGCGGGTGCTGAAACTTTTGCTTATGACTGCACACACACAAGCCCTATAAACACTGTGTATCCTGGCGTATAAACACACTCAGGCTTGTGGCTCTAGTGGTAAATTCTCCTTCCTGTCCGCTCCCCGAGTGGACCTGAGTGGACCGAGCGGAGACACTAACACACAGGAGTTCATCACACGCCTCACTGAGAGCATAACCACTGCCAGACCCAGAGGAAAGACAAGGAACGAGGGAATAGATAAACGAGCGCGTAGAGAGGAAACGCCAGCACTTTGACTAGAGAGACAGATTCTGACCTTTCTCTCTCTCGCTCTCTCTCGCTCTCTCTCTCTCTCTCTCTCTCTCTCTCTTTCTCTCTCATTCTCTTATTACATAAATGTAAAACAGTAGTTGGTCAAAATAAATAAACTTACTTAATACATTAAATAAAAAATAAATTAATATATTAAATTAATAAATTGCCCTAAATACATTTACACATGTTCCCGTTTTCCCCAAATGAAGTTCATTAGCCAGTACATCCCAGATAGCTGACAGTTTTGGGCCGATTATGGCTTCCCTGTGTGAGTGTTGGTTGACTGCCAGGTGGATGTTAGGCATGTGGGCCAGAATAGGGTCAGATCCTGGACAGCTTCATACTGTTTTGGCTCGTGTCTACATTTGTGGAACAATTCTGGCCTGAATATTGTGAACCAACAATGTAGTTGGGTCAGATTGGGACCAGATTTGGGCCATATCCTTTAGTTCTACTCACTTTACAGTGTGTGGGCCAGATCTGGGCCGAGGACCCAGCCGTATACTGGGCCAGAGCAAACCAAGGATGTGGTCCACAAATGAGCCAGACAGATTTTACTAACTGGGATGTTTGGAGACGTATTTTTATCAGTTTTTAATCTACAAAAAATGTACAAAAGCACATCCCATAAACATCTGATCATCATGTTTTTGTTGGTGTAGCGTACAGTACTAGCCACTGAAGTTACTCTTAGCATTTTGCTAATGTTGCTAGCTAGATAGGTTAACGTTGTACAGTGCTAGCTGCATGTCTAAGTTACTCTAAGCAATTTGCTGATGTTGATAGCTAGCTAGGTTAACATCATAGCCTACACTGCTAGCTACAGCAGCATGGCTGAAGTTACTCTAAGGGATTTGTTAACACCCTATCTCTCTCTCTCTCTCTCTCTCTCTCTCTCTCTCTCTCTGTCTGTGTGTCAGGGTTCAGAGTGTATGTGTGGACTCGGAGGTGGAGAGTTATGCGTGGTTCATCGCTCAGGCTCTGGAGAAGACGCGCTGCCGTGAGTGCGTTCCGTCCTGGGAGGAGATCCAAGGCCTGATGAGCCGTCAAGAGATGCTGTGTACCGTCCACTACCCTGGACCAGGCTGCTGCAGGATAGCCATCAGCTCCCATACCACTGCTAATGAGGTACACGCACAAAGACAAGTCACCAACACTGGAGATCTGCCTTCCTGCAGAACCACAGTCTGTCACTCCTGCTCCAGCTAATTAACTTGGCTGCGTCTTAAACCACATACTGCTACGCCAGCACGGTGGCATGCAGTTTGAGACGCAGCCCTCGATTCTGAATCAGATGCGTTAGTGTCGAGGGAGTAGAATTTGAATTGGAGTTAAAATAAAATGTATATCGTGGCATAAGATAGATATAATTCAATTTTCCGGTGGTTTCTGATGGAGTTACATGTAATTTACCATTTTTATTGAAATGAAACATTTTGCATACTTAAATAAGCTTATTTTTGTAAGTTCAATCAGTCAGTTAAACTTTATTTTTACTTGGAAATACATTGAGGGTTTCCCCCTTATTTCCAGTGCAGCCAAGAATTTACAATATAAAGGGACTGAAAAGAATTTGAAATGGAATTTTATCATTTTAAACTAAAATGAACCAAAATACATGAACAAATTAACAATAAAATGAAACAAAATCAAACAAGATTAAGATTAAATTAAGAGAACAAGTATGAATTATTTAAGAAGAGAAACAAGAAAAAAAAAAAAGCAGGATATAGCAGTTAAAACCAATACATTTGAACATAAGGCAAACTAAATATTGAAGCAAATAAGTTAAAGAATTGTAAAGAGTAAACAGATCAAATAAAATAAAAGAAGCAGCAATAGAATTAAGATAATTAAAAAAATATTATTTCTGGAATAATAACTCTCCATCTCTCTCTCTCTTTCTCCGTCTCTCTCTCTCTCTCTCTCTCTCTCTACATCTCTCTTCATCTCTCTCTCTCTGTCTCTCTCTCTCTCTCTTCATCTCTCTCTCTCCCTCTCTCTCCATCTCTCTCTCTCTCTCTCTCTCAGCTGGTGAGGAAGATGGCCGAGCGGCTCGGCCTGCAGGACAGCCGCAACACTTTCGCTCTCTTCGAGCAGCGAAGGAGTTACGGCTGTCCTGCAGACCGCTGGGAAAGGGTCATCGGGGGCGGCACCATCATCGCTGATGTCATCACCAGGTTTGAAAAGTAAATATTCAGTTGATCGATAAAATCCACCATCCTTCAGCAGAAGCGCGTAGATAAACCCCTGAGTCTCCGTTATTCTCACACAGCATTCTGTATAAGCACATCTGAGACACCGGCCACTCTGAGGCCTTCGCACACAAAGTCTTATCTCTTCCGCTGAAGCTCGAGTTCAGGCGACTCTCAGGTGGATGTGATCTGCTCATCAGAGGATTTTGTGTACAAACTGAAGTCCATGCAGCTGGAGTGTCAATAAAGCAAAAGGGGAAGCACACCAAATACTAAAATTCTAAAATTTGATGATTTTATTTTTCACTTAGTTTGCTATGCTGATAAAATAAGTTGTAAAGAAAAGGTGAACTCAAAATAAACACACACACACACACACACACACACAGACATATATATAGAATATATAAAAAACAGGAGGCGAGGGGAGAGCGGAGATGGGTTGGAGAAGGGGGTTTATACTTACTGTCTACACTGAGGGGCTCAGACTAGTCTGAGAATGCATGAACGACGCATGAAGGACAGCAGTAGAGTTTAGAAAATAAAATGCACACACACACAAAAATGGTCTTAACTGAGTCACCTAGCAGTGTGTGCGTGTGTACAGGTCTTCATCAACACTCTCAGGATGAGACTGATGTCACAAGCTGTGAGTGATGTAGAAGGCAAGCGGAGAGAGATAAGAGAGCAGCTGGAATAAAAGGCATCTGTTTTATTCTCGGAACAGTGTGTGCGTGTGTGTGCTTTGTGAGGCTCTTCCCAGAATCTGAAGTTCAGGGACACACACACACACACACACAGGAAACTGCACACGCAGCAGGATGAAGTTCAGCGTGTCGGCACCAACACCACACAGGAGAGAGACTGAGTGTGTGTGCTGATGATGATGGTGTAATTAGTGAGTTTCTGTTTCCCTGTGAGCTTCTTCATGAGGTCATGTGCGAGTAGAGAAATGTGAGGATATGAAGGTTCTTTAGTAAATATGGAAGCCCATTTCCAGCACTTTAGACAGAAATATTGTCCAACTATTGTTTTTCTTGTATTTTTACCTCTGAGGTCCTTTAATGATATTTATGTGGGTTTATGTACCAAAACGGTCATTTTCACATGACCATTTTTTCCAGCCTCTCTTAGCCCTTAGAATTAAACAGTTTTTGTTATCATGTTGCTCCTCATTCTGCAGTGTGAGTGGGCGGGGCTAAAACGCTGTAAGTAGGTTGTATATTTGTATGTACACTGCTTTTCATGACATCACAAAACAATTTTAAACAGCCTGTTTTTGAAGCTTAGGGTCCATATATGGGCTGAGTGGACTGAGGAACGAAAGCTACATTTAGAAACTAACAGCATTTACATACAACGTCAAAAAAAGTGAGGAAAGTTTTAAAATAATGACATTTTCTTTAATGCGTATTAAAAAAGAAAAAAATAAATATTATTCAAGATATGGTCATTCATAGTAGATACGTCATTATTTAGACGTATTAAGCCATTTTTTCAAGACATAATTGAGTATTTAGAGATACAAAGTCAATATTTTGACACACTGCTGTCTGAACCGGAGCAACTTTTCTCCTCTGTTTGACAGGAATGGGCTTCCATAGGTAAATGTACATTTATAAACTAGTTATTGAGTTTCTATCTCTTTTAATCTCTCTCTCTCTTTCTCTCTCTGTCTCAGTCTCTCAGTGAAAGAGCCGGACTCAGAGTGGAGGTTGTGTTTTAAATTATACTGCCTTCTGGACACAGACAACATCAGCACGGACAGCATCGAATATCTCTTCCTCTATGAGCAGGTGACCGCACTCAACATGACCAACAGCCTCCATTTGTGTCCACTTTGCTGCTGCTTTTGTTAGTTTGCTGCTCATTGATTTATCCATAGTTCTGTTTGTGAGGTCTGTCCAGTGTCGTCAACCGAAGGTGCTGAAAGTATCGCTTTATAAGCCGAAATGAGAGGGCTACAATCACACATTCAAATGTAGCAACATACACTGTGCTGCAGCTTGGGTTTGAAAGGTCAAACTAGGAAAATGAGTTCACAGCATTTAAAATATCTAGTGGCCTTAGAGAGAAGGAGGTGGGGGGGGAGATGGGAGGAGAGGGATGGAGGGAAGAGTTAATGACGGAAAAATAGTTGGATTGGGATCACAAAGCAGGGAGACAAAGGAAAACAAAAAGAGGGAGAGCAGGGCTTTGACACTCCAGAGAGGAAATAATTAAAATTGAGAAATTGTACTTTTATTTTCATGGCAGGGTTTTTTAAAGGAGCTGAGATGTAAATAACAGAGTCGGTTAGCGAGTTATAATCATTTCCACATTACAGAAACAGCTTTCTGCAGTGCAGTGAAAAGAGCTGCAGGGCAGGGTTAATGTAACACACTCAGTCCTGCTTGGACCCAACCAGAGAATCCAGCTTCATAAAAACAGGACTGAGAGGAAGGAAGATAAATGTGTACATCATTTATAGACCATTTAAATTTATTTCACTGACACTTTATTTTGAGTGGTTCTTTTAGATGAAACAAACACACAACAGACTCTCAGTAACATGTCAAAAACATATGAGGGTTAGGGTTAGGTTTTGGGTTGGGGTTAAGGTCAGAGTTAGGGTTAGGTTTGGGGTTGAGGTTAAGGTTAGGGTTAGGATTAGGGCCAGTGTTAGGATTAGGTTTTGAGTAATGAAAGTAACATATTAACAATCCATCTACTTAATGTAAGTAATGTATCAACAGAACATCTACAAGATATTTACTTCAGTGTGTTCAGATGCTTCACTGCTGCTACTTCACTGATATGTTTTTGATGTGTTACTGATAATCTGTTACGAGTTTATTAATCATCTACAAAGAACCACTCCAAATAAAGTGTTACCTTTATTTCTGCAACAAATATACATAGATATAAATAGTGAATTGCTTTCTGAAATTAAAACCTTAATGTATGTAAGGATTATATATATCAATCATAACACAACCAATACTGATAGGATTTTTCACTTAAAAGTCTGAAATGTATTTTTTTTTAACACTGAGTTTGAATTAATTCAGTAAAATGATCTATATACTCAGATATTTACATTGGATTGCCCTGGGATACTATTTCATTCTCTCTCTATCTCTCTCTCTCTCTCTCTCTCTCTCTCAGTGTCATGAGATGGTGGTCCGTGGTCAGTTACCTGCGTGTGAGGATGACCTGTTGTCTCTGGCCGCTCTGAGGCTGCAGGCTGTGCAGGGCGATTACAGCGCTCTGGCTCCCTTCCCTGCACTGGAGCAGGTTTTTCCAGCACGTGTTCTGGAGGCTCGGGCCCTGCTGACCCCGGCGGACCCCCCAGGCTGCCCCCCGCCCTTCCCTGCGGGGCTGCTGGCGGGAGCGTTGTGGGGCCATAAGAGGCGCGAGGAGCAAGACCAGCGTCTGCGGGCGCGGCTCAGAGAGGAGTCCGCCCTGACCACCGCTGCCATCCTAGAGCGCTGGAAGGCGCTGAGTGGGTACAGCCGCAGAGACAGCATGGCCGCTTACCTCACCATCGCACGGCAGTGGTCAGGGTTCGGCTGCACGCTCTACGAGGTGGACTTCTACATAGTGAGTCGTCTTCGTCCAGTCGATTTTGCGCTCTGTAGATTGGTGAAAGCGATAGATTGGTGAAAAATGTGCGCAGCGTTCCCTCTTATCCCAAATGTAGCCTAGGTTACATGAACTCAGTGTCTGAAGTTTGCTTGTGCTGAAGCTGCGAGGCTAATGTAGTTAACAAGTAATGGATGCTTATACCCACCAATCAGCAAAGTTCATGCATAAATAATCACACACTTGCCCCAAACCATGTTGAGTTGTTGAGTAATGTCTAATAGACTTGCCTATGATACATGACATAGTGTTATACATTAAAATGGACAAAAGTGCTTCGCATAGCTAAAAACAGTAGTAGCTGTATTGAATCCTTAGTTACTTTTAGGCTTAGAGAAAAGGCTACTAAACTAAACAGTAGCTATGTATATTTATATGTATACACAATTATCTCCCACAGCAGCTTCATTGCTGTCATGCCAAAACTTGTATCACCTTTATTGTTGCTACAGTTACTTTTTGCACTGTGTTAAGTGTATAATGAACAGACCAATAGAAACGGTCCAAAATGTCAATACATTAACTTCTTTTCGAAGTTGACAATGTAAAGTTGCTATAAATAACCATAATTTTAAAGTTTAAAGCTGCACTATGTAACATTTTTTTATTCAAATTGAAAGAATAGCATTACTGAACTAGGAGAAGAAACAGGTTCCAGTATGCTGTGCGCACTGCTGTGAGTCGCCCTGTAAATCCTGAAATAATAATTCAAAAGTCAGAGGCGCCAGTTTATATCTTACCTCTGATGACGGTTCACAGATCACTGCCAGCAAGAACGAGGCAGCTTTTTTCTTTAACTCTGCTGTAATATTTGGTTTTGGAGAAGGACATCCCCTGCTCTGTCATATCAAATCTTGTTGTCACAGATTCCACTGCTCATGTACTGAATTTCTGGAGCTTTAGATTTAAAGTACATTCACAGGAACACTCACAGCTAAAAACCTGAACGCTTGACCGAGGTAATGGTGGAAAGTGTAACGGTTGCTAAGAAGGAGAAAATGAAGCAGACTTTTAGGAAAGATGTGAGGAGCGCCAGGATTATGATCGATCGTAACGCAGTGACACATTAGTTCTTTTTTTTTTTCGCTGTGCTGCTAGTAAAGTTCCCAACACAGGTCAAAACAGCTGTTTAGATTTGCTCATAATTGAGGGGGCCACCTAGTGGCTCAGGCCCCTGAACATGCATCCGTAAAATGCCTGAGCCTGGGGTTAGGGCTGAAATGAAGTTGTGGTTAAGTTTAATAGAATCTTTCACACTCAACTACAAGTTCAGTTGCATTAATAGATATTTAGTTGAATGTAAGTTTAAGTCAGAAGAATCTACAAAGCATCTACAGATGTCCATCAAAATGAAGTGTTCCAACATAAAATATGTATATCTCTCTCTCTCTCTCTCTCATTCTCTCTCTCTCTCTCAGAGCTCCACAGGTAGTTTCTCTCAGCGTTTGTGGCTGGGTGTAGCAGCGTCATGTGTGTCCCTGTACAGGCAAGGCGAGGCTGAGGCTCTGGAGTGTCTCCCCATCGCTCAGATCTGCTCTTACGGCGTCTCCGACAGCAACACATTCAGAATCACCGCCGGCGACCGCGACCTGCTGTTTGAGACGTCCAAGGTAAAGAGTGCTGCTCTTACACTGAAAATCAGGGGCCGGATTCATGAAAACTTTCATTCATGAAAAGGTTCTTAAGACAAACACTAAAAATGTTTTTAAATGCAGTTCTCTTAAGATAATCTTAATTATTTTCTTAAGGTTTTCTTAAATCTCCATAATTAAAAAAAGCAAACAAGAGCTAGAGGGGGTGGTGGAAGAAACAGCCAACAGGAAAAAATATTCTCATTGGAAAATCTGATAATTGGAGATGACGGACGAGGGTGGGCAGGAGGAGCAGAAGCAGCGTCCATGATATCCATTAGACGCTGACCTTGTCAACTCTTACAGCCTAAGACAAGTGTGAGGCTGTCATAAGGTTAAGAAAACATTTAAGAACATAATATTTTCAAGAATATCACTTGTTCTTAGAATTATTCTTAAGAAGGTCATTTAAAAAAAAGAAAATAAGAAGTTATTTGAAGAATAACAATTTCTCGTAACTTTTTTCTTCAGAAAAGAAGTTAAGAAAAAACACATTTAAGAATATTTTCTTTCTTAAGACACTTTTGTGAATCCGTCCCCAGATCTTAGCGGTGTAGAGAATTAGTGTAGGCTATAAATAGAGTTCTCTGACTAAAGCACTTCACTCGCAGGATCAGTGGTCGGTTGGACCAGCTGTGCATAAGTTTAAACGTAGGCTAGTTGTAACGTCAGTGTTTACTAAGTTCAGGTTTATGTATTACTAAATCAGATCAGTTTGCACCACAAACTAGTTTTAATGTTGAGCTTAGTAGTTACTAAATACTTACATCTCCCCCTGAGCAGGTGTCAGTGTTGGGGAAACCATCAGAAACCACATAGAAAGCACTAAAAAACATGTCTTGGTTAACTAAGCTAAAAAAACGAAACGCTATGCGCTGTGATTTTACTCACAGCTCTAATCACCCCCCTGGTTTAAACTCTGGGCATGAAGCTGAACACTCACAGTTCAGCTCAGTGAGACTCAGCAGCCCAAGGGCTAAACTGAGGCTGCTGTTGTGTCGGTTAACCAGAAACCATCCTTTAAAAAGCTGCATATGTGGTTTTTAGGGGAACATTAAGGAATAAACACAGTGGCTGTAGACTTTATAGAATTAGCTTCATTCAGTTTAACTTGTACACATCGTTCTCTTTTATGCTGGAAATTTTTTTCCAGGGAAAAAGTCAGAGCAGCTGCCGGCAGTGGGTTTACTGTTTGGTTCTGAACTTGTTATTGTCATGTTAAAGCGATGTACTCATTAGTTCATGAGGTCTTTAGACACGACTTATGGATTTGTGGTGCAACCAAATTTAGTAAAAGGATAGTTTGTATCTAACTAGTGTAGCTAAGGACTCAGTAAAGACTTTACGCACAAACTTAAGTATAAACTCACGCAAACCTGGTGCGACTCGGTCCATTTTTATTTATTCTCATGTTTCTATCATGTTAGAATGTTAATATATTTAGCAAATATAGACCGTTTACACTTCGCAGGACGTTCTGTCCATCAGCCACGCAAAGCATCATGGGGCTCAGGGATAAGGTGTATAGTCTATAATCCCACCATATAGAGAATCTGTATTGTTGAATTCAGTCGTTCTTTGTGTGAGTTGGTGGGCAAAGGGGTGGGGGGGTCGCTTGAGTGGGCTGAAGGTTCAGTACTTCATTTTTCTCAGAAGTTGCCAATTTTTTTGCTAACACTCCCTCCCATCTCTCTCTCTGTTCTCTCCTTTTTTCTTTTACTTTTCTTTTACTTTTTTTTACTTTCTTTTCTTCTTTTCTCTCATTCTTACTTGCTTTCTTACTCTTTCTCTTTCCATTTTACTTTTTAACTTGTTTCTCTTTCTCCTTTTCGTTTTTTCCATCTTTCTCTCTCTTACTTCCCTTTCCCTTTTTTCTGTCTTTCCCTTTTACTATCTTCTCTGTTTCTCTTTTCCTTCTTTCTTTTCTATCTCTCTTTTACTTCCCTTTCTTTCTTTCATTTTTACTTGTTTCTCTCTCTCTCTCTCTCAGCTGACTGAGATCATGCAGTTGATGAATGCTTACTTCAGTGCCACCCGACGCCAGCTGGGCAAGGATGACTGCATCACCATGGAAACCACCCCCAAGCTCCGCCCCTCCCTGCTAGAACTGCCCTCTCACCCGGTGTGAAGAGAGAGAGACACACACACACACAAAGAGAAAGTAATCCTGACTGATTGGCTGTGTGACTGTAAGAGACTCTGCGAACCAGGCAAGACAAAGAGAATCCTGTTTACTCCCTCCGTCCCGAAAAGAACGGAAAAAAGAGAAAACGAAAGAGAAAATCGAGAGGGTGAAAAGGGGAAGGAAATAGCTGAATGGACAGAGTCCAAAAGGGGACGGGGTCAGGACTTTCAACCCCCAGAATCCAGCTGGAACTCCAAATCCCAGAAAATTCCTTGCTGTCAGACACTGCATATCTGAGAGAGAGAGAAAGAGAGAGAGAGAGAGAGAGACACTGACTGAGAGAAACTCAGTCAAGAAAAAGCTTTCATATCCTCTCAGTGTGCTGGAGGAATGACAGTGTCACAAACACACACATTCTCTCTCTCTCTCTCTCTCTGCCTCCCCTGGGCTTTAGAAGGCCTTATGTGAACTTGAACTGCTAATAGACTCAAGTCAGTCCTTTTTCGCCTCGTGGATGCAGAGAAGCCTCTTTCAGAGAACTCGGAGAGACTGTGTGTGCGTGTCGGAGATACAGATCGAATGGAATATTCAAAGCTGTTCAACCGAAACCAAAGGAGCTCTTTAGCTAGATGTTCTTGCTTTTTTTTTATTTTGGTCAGATGCTTCCAGCCACACCAGGTGCTGCTGCTTCACCTGAGCTGTTTCTCAGCCAGACCTTCATTCGTTATACGGTAAAGAGGTATTTCAAGGTGGGACGTGACGTCTACTGTATAACGGTGATCGATGTTCTATGAACGTTTTTTTGTAAAACGCTGTTCAAGAGTTGTCTCAAGAAACCCAGTGAGAGCCATGCTTCAACACTGCTTCTACCTGCATTAAAGGAACAGTTCTGGCCAAAAATCTCATTTACACATTATTTGCCCTTGTAACATCCCACATGTAGTCAATCAGTCAAGACACGTTTAGTGTCTGAAGTTTGCTTCTTTAGTTTTGCATTGGAGCTACGAGGCTAATGTAGCTAAGTAACAGTAGTTTAACCCTGGCAAAGTGGTAGGTCACTTCTAGCCTTCATAACTTCAGAACGGTTTAAGCTACAGCCATGACACATACATCAGACCATTCAGCAGACCCGGCCCTAACGTTACCAAGCTGTGACGTCAGCATCAGTGAGTAATTTGACTCAGAAAATCACCTAAAATCCTGATATTTTGCTCTGCTGTTTGGCCTTCATATTCCAACAAAGGGTTAAAACAGCGGGATGATTCACACATCAGATCACTCAGCAGACTCTGCCTCACCATCCAGTCTGATTTCATCCGCCTGTGACCATCCATCAGCCAGCAATCCAGCATCCATCAGCCAGCAATCCAGCATCCATCAGCCAGCAATCCGACTCGCTACAGTTATATTACATCTCTGCTTTTAGCCTTCATATTACAAACAAAGGGTTAACAATAGCGACATGATTCACACACCAGAACACTCAGCAGAACCCGCCATCACTAGCCAGAGTGAGAGAAACCAGCTCTAACATCACACAACCCAGAAATACAGCACAAACACGCAGCCGGATCACTGTTAAACCTGCTATTAGCTCTGCTTTAGCCTCTAAAAGCTTCCGATGAGCACTGCGCAAACTGTTTGCCCAAATCATTACTCACATCAAACTGCATCCAGTTGTTTAGTCGTCTCAAATAATCTTGCTTGTGTTGTTTCTGACACTGTTGTCAACCAAATTTATGGTAAAGAGAATGTTGTGTAATTCTGATTTTTGGCCAGCAATTCAGAACCTCCAGACGGTCAAACTACAGTCCTGAACAGTCATTTAGGCTTTGACCCTTAACCATCGAAGATGCTGGGAATGGATGAGAACCCATCTGTGATGTAGAACAGTTAAAACAATTGTTAAGCCAAAAATCCTATGAACACACGATTCCCTCTTACCCCAAATGATCAGCCGAGGCATGTTTGGTGTCTAAAGGTAGCTTTTTTTAGTTGTTCGCTTAAGCTACGAGGCTAACATTGCAAAAAATGGTATCTTGTCAAGTAAAATTACCTTAAATATAATCAATATGTCTAATATTTTTCCTGTTGAGATTGTTGTAAGCTTAATTTACGAATATATAACTTCTTTCTATTTTTTTAAATAAAAGTACCTAAAACAAGTAAACAATGTCTAGAAATAAGATAGATAATCTTATAATCAGTACACAACCATCTTAAAATGGAAAATTTTAGATATATCGACTAGATTTAAGATCATTTCACTTAAGAACTATTCATATGGGATTAGTTTGCATTGGGAGCTGGGGGCAAAGTAAATTACTGGTGTTTCTCAGAGATTTCAATCCTGTCAGAAACCACCATGTCAGTTATTTTTATGGACTGCGTGCTTACAGGTCAGCAAAAATTCCAGGAGCTTATACCTTCTATAAAGTTAGCCAGAGAAATAACTCCAGGTTGTATGATTCCCATATTATAAAATCCTAGAAATAAACCCAGGTTTTATTAATCCTGTCATAGAAATCATAGAAATAACCCCAGATTACATTAAACCTGTGATAAATGAATCATAGAAACAATCCCATATTATATTAATCCCATATGATAAAACAAATCATAGAAGTAATCCCAGATTATATTAAGACGGGGAGATAAATAAGTCATAGAAATAATCCCAAATTATATTAATCCCGTATTATAAAACGAGTCATAGAAGTAACCCCAGATTATATTAGGCCGGTGAGATAAATGAATCATTGAAATAATTCCAGATTATTTTAATCCCGCATGATAAAACGAGTCATAGAAGTAACCCCAGATTATATTAGGCCGGTGGGATAAATGAATCATAGAAATAATTCCATATTATATTAATCCCGTATGATAAAACGAGTCATAGAAGTAACCCCAGATTATATTAGGCTGGTAAAATAAAGGAATCATAGACATAATTCCAGATTATTTTAATCCCGTATGATAAAACGAGTCATAGAAGTAACCCCAGATTATATTAGGCCGGTAAGATAAATGAATCATAGAAATAATTCCAGATTATTTTAATCCCGTATTATAAAACGAGTCATAGAATTAAGACTGTGTGATAAATGAAATAGCCCTGGATTATATTAATCTTGTCTGATAAAACAAATCATGGAAATACACCAGATTACATAAATCCAATGCACGTGTACGTATTCCATCATATCCTCATTTTGACTTTGGCTGTAAAATCAATGACCGTGCTAATCAGTCACAAACATTACAGCCGTCTAGTGGTAAAATATTTGCCCACCTACCCAAAACTAATCCCATCTGAATAGTACTTCATTCTGATTTGTGAGGCAAACGTGATGATTTAAGCATGCAGTTTAAACAATGCTAAGTTGTGGGACATAAGCTTAACTACATTAGCCTGACACCAAACATGTCTTGGCTGACTGGCTACATTTTGAAGAGGGACACTGTACAATTTTTTGCTGAACTATTCCTTTAGCATTAATAATGTCTTCCCATATTCTAGTGATCAGTGCGTTTCCAGACTGAAGCCAGACCCCAGTTTGTGTCTGTAGCTCGGTTATGAAGTCCCATGTCATGTATATGTAGGATTTATGTCTAAAGGGTCATAACCTGTCTTTCATCTGCTGAGCATACTTTCACTTTTTATAATATTGTTACTGTACGTTAGACTTTATTTATGGATGTCCGTTGTGTAAAATTTTGCGTGTAAGTGAGTGTTTTTTTTTTTTTTATTGTCCTTTTTACCTCTTGGTTTTTATATCTCTTTAAGGACCTATAATTGTATTTTATTTCGGTTTAATAATTTCAAACAGCCCTTGATTAACCGGTGTCATGATGTATATTGCTGAACGTTCATATACATGTCATCGGCCTCATTTTGAAGGCTACCACATGGCAAAAGATATACACACCCCATTTTTCTTGTCAGTATAAGCGGTTCATTGGATCGGTCAGCACAGAAAATGTCATATATTTTACCATGGACCAAATATCTTGGGGTCTGAGCCCTTTGTTGTAGAATTACTGCCACGCCACTCATACATAGACAGTAAAGCTCATATAGTTGGCCTCAAATTTAGCTCTTGTTCCCTAGCTGTGCCTCAGGAAGACGTTAGCTGTAGCCACCTGTGCCTAAAACATTCATTACTAACTCCACATAGTAACAAACTGAACCTTAACATGCCGGATTTACATGATTTTCCTCGTAACTCAGATATAGTTGATTAGACAAGTCATGTTTGGTGTCTGAGGTTTGCTTCTCTACTTTTTCAGTGGAGCTACGAGGCTAATGTAGCTAATGTAATGGAGGCTTAATGCTAGCAGTTTGCCTTGCGCAAACTACATGCCTAAATCATCTCACACTTGCCTCAAACCTTGTTGAAATGCTTGCGTATGTGGTTTTTGACACTGTATGTCATTGTTATCTGTAAAAATGGACAAATGTACTGACGAAATTTAGGCTTCAAGATGGCTGCTGCTACTGGTGTTAGCTAGACAGCATAAAACAGCAGACCGTGAAAACTGACATGGCGCATTCGGACTTGACTAAAGTCACTGCAACACACCACTAATAGTTATCTTATCCTGTCTTCAAGTTTAATGAATCCCTAATATTATTATAAAAGTCAGTATTAAAATATTATACATATATGCTTGCATTACTTAGCCTCCTAGCTCCATAATGAAACTAGTGAAGCAAACTTCGTACCTCAAATGTGTGTTGACTGACCACATTCGGGTTAAAGGAGAAAGTTGTGCAAATGTTGTTTTCTTTCTATTTTTTTGCCAAACCATAACTTTAACTGTCATGAAGAACACTTGAGGTGCTTGTGATCCTTACTTTTTCCATTGAGCCAAACATGGTCAAATTTATAGACCCCTGTTGAACCCAATCCTGACCACAGGTTGTGGTTGCCATGACGACCCCGAACTGTCCGGTCCAAGTAGCAAAGCCACTGTCCGTGCGTCACTCAGCAGCTGCAGGCAGCTCCGCCCACTGTCTTAAAGTAACACGCTACACCTAACACGTCACCAAGAGTGGTGACTGTCATTTATATGCCTCATGGTACTTCTCTATGTAACGCGTGTATAGTCAGTTGCACTATTGTTTGTACAGCTAACTTGAATGTGCAATAATAAATAACATTAAATACTGTATGTAATTAATTAATAAAGGCAGCACCATTGGACCATCACGTAAGTGTGAGTATTTTGGTGAGATCATGCACACATCCATCACAGTCTTCCAAAGATGGTACCTCGATTTCTAAAAGGCCCACTTACCAGGTTTGTGCGGTTTCGTGCACCAAAATCCTAATTCGTCTCAAACCATTTTCCAACCTTGCTTTATCCTTTACAATTAAACAGGCTGTTTTTATTACTGTGACTTTAAGACTGACATATGTAAATGACCTCTGCTCTGACCTCATTCAAAAAGCACTTCAGGCTGAAACACTCCTTATAACTTCAGTGTGAAAGGGTGCGGATTAACTGCTATAAGATAAATATGAGAACGTATATAAATGTGCTTGGTTGTTATAGAACCAAAACGATCACTTCTAAACTGTGTTTTTGCTCAGTTTTCATATATGGGCTGTATTGATTTAAAGAGGCGAGTGAAAAACAATGCAAACATTACACTATATCAATATGTACACTATCAAAATATTCTGGCTTTCTATGATACGGGCCTTGTAAGACTGTCTGGGTAACAGTGAAGGTTCTTTTCCTCATTCCTGTATAATTACATTTAAAACACTATGTTTAGTGGCTTTACATGGTAAGACCTTCATACAACTTAAGTTGCTTGAAACATGCATGTCCTGCAACTTATGCGCAACTTGTTTGAAACTCAACTGCAGCAGTTGCAGCCGTGTTAACTGTGTGAAGTTTCATGAAACAGCCAGTCCTATGAAAATGCCCTATGAATTTAGCCTGTCTGTGTGCGTATAGAGATGCGAGGTTTTTTTCCGCCAGCAGCGAGACGTGTATATATATCTATCATTTTTTTAAAATTTCTTCATAATGCTTCTGTTGATATGTAAACAAAGTCATATAGATTGGTGTGAAATTGTTCATTGTAGCAAAACTAATTTCTTTACAGTGGTGGTTATAGGAACCAGGGGCCACAATGTCTACAACACAAATATAGCCATTTTATTTACTATCCAAAACCACCAGTGAACCTACATGTGCCTTTTGGGTTTTTAAAATATGTTTTGAGTCAAAACAGTAAAACATAAAATCATTAAATGTTTTCAGGCAGATTGAAACATTTGTAAGCAATCCATGTAATAACTTTGAGACATCTGGTTCCTATCACCACCACTGTGAACAACTTTGACTCTAGAATGGTCCGTTTCACATCAAACCACTCGGAAAGACTGTTTACGTCTTAATGATCCATTATGCAGAAATTTTGAAAAATAGGTGGAATTCTCCTCCTCATTTGAGGCTCAACTTATCCAGCTTTACTGCTGTAAATGTATCCAGCTCAAAGAGATGTGTGTATTGTATGAAACTGACGGAACCAGAAAAAAAAAATCCTAAAACTGGCCTCTAAACAAAGTGTTTTAGCTCCTACATGATTAAAAACACATGATCAAACATACACAAAACATTAGATTCTGCACTTTCTGCTTACAAACAGGCCTTACAGCAAAAACAGGTTTGCTTTTATTGTCCCAGTACTTATTGAGTGCTCTGTATATTTGACAGGACATCAGTATTTTCTTAGTTCACGGAAAACGATTTGCTGTCGGACATGATTTGGTGGAACCGTTTGTTTAAGCAGCAGATTAGTTTCGCTCCCCCAGCTCGTACACAAATCATGACTCGGTAATAAAACAGTGAAAGCTCTGCTCATAGAAAATCATTTATTCAAGTCACCTACTTCAAGTAAACGCATTTTCTGACCACACACACTGTACAGAACAGAAAGACGTGAGGACAGAGAGAACAAACAGGAAAGTGCAGCAAAGAGAAGAGGCTCAGAATGACAAGAGTTCCACAATGAAGGCATTTTAACTGTTACAGAAAGAACCAATAAATAAAACATTACCATGTTTAACACTGAGGTCACATGACTGAGCCTGAAACAGTGAGGAAAATGTTCTGATTTGGGTCCTAAAAGTACAGAAGAGCAAATATCAACATTAGATAGTCAAAAGAATAGATCATCACAGTCGTATCAAAACCTCATCACTGTATATTTGTTTTTACACCAGATGCAAGATTTAATGATCGAGGGACCAACAGAAATGATCTAGAATATAACCTAGTTACATTAACACGGATAAAAATGATCATTTTTAAGTAGATTTTTGTTTGGTGTTTTTTTTTTATTATTATTTTAGCAACAATATCTGACCAATAGTCACATTTGAAGGTGTTTCAGCTGAAGAGAGACTTTAGTGCTAATGAGTTGGAGTCTCAGTCCTAATCAAAATGTACTGATAAGGACCCAAATTGTCCCTGTTATAACGAAACCTCATCACGGCCATTCAAAAGTTTGGAATCAGGTGTCGCATTAATAATCGTTTTTCAATAATAACTTACAGATTGTAGATTGGAACGTGTTAAACTAGACATCAACACGTAAACCAATGATTTATTCACAAAGTATTTCAGGAACAAGAAGTTATGAAATGGTCAAAGAGAGTAATTAAATAATAAACTTTAATTCGAGAAATTTATAATAACTTATCATCATGTAATTACTACGAAAGTCAAAATTACTATTTTATCAGCAGGATTTGGGCACCACTTTTTCAAATGTGTCATGAGAAATATTAGTTTTATGAACTTTGCATTTTAATTGGATTTAATTTTAAATCAGAGCTTCACTGATTTAATTATATTGTTGCTGTTGGAAGAAAACCTTATATCTCCATTTTTGTTTTTATTTATTTGTACATAATTTGAAACTGCCAGCTGCTGTTTGCACCATATAAAAAAAGACAAACAGACCAATAGAAATGGTCAAAAATGAGTTACGATAATCTTGCTATATTAACTTACATTGCAATGCAAGAATGTTTTTCCTTCTCATGTAAATTGCTTTTTTGGAGATACAAGGTTTTGCTCCAACAGTCATGTTCATTGTCAGTCTTATATAGCTTTTTTAATTATCGTCTACAGCTATCAATCTTCAAAAAATTAATACATTTTTACGGCTTCCTCCAAGCAGAAACCAATAAAACAGTGGGCCTCATTCACCAAGTGATCTTAAGAAGAAATTTCTTCGTAAAGACTACGTTAATTCTGACATTCGCCAATGATTTCTTCTTTGAGATTTGCTCTTCTAATATACATACAACATTAGTGCACAAAAGTACGAACAATTTTGAGTTTTAAGAAAACGTCAGGAATTTAATGTAGACTTTAAGATCTTAGGAAGATATTACTGAATGAAGCCAAGTTTTTTCTTAAAATTGTTCGAGAAAGTTCCTAAGAAAAAGTCTACGTCAGATTCATGACAGGTTCTTAAAACACAGAAATGTTCACACTTTTGTGCACTTAAGTGTGCATAGATTCTCTTCTTACCTAAGAACAAATCCCAAATAAGAAAACACTAGTGAATATCAGAATCTTTGTGAAAACAGCGTAAGAGGGTTTTCTTAAGAACAGTTAGTGAATAAAGTGAATTTCTTCCTAAGAATTGTTGGTGAATAAGGCTCATTGTTATTATACTAGAATAATTTTATATGTATCTGCATTAAACTTTTATTCATACTACTGAAAACACTGATTCCAAACTTCTGAATGGTTAAAAAAGCTAAAGCAATTTGAGTTGGGTTTTTTTTCGTCCATTACTCATGAAACGTGCAAACAACGTGGAGGACAGCTCAAGTTTTCAAATAATGTAAATGAATAAAATTTGATGTAAAAAAGTTATGAACTTGTGATAGGACAGTGATGATATATATAAGAATTGGGGTTGAGAAACAGCCTCTCTTTATCCATAAGTGCATTTACATCAGCCCCTAGTTCATCTGGATTTAAGAAGTTATATCTACACAGTCTGAGGTTTCTAAATGCTGAGTACTGATTGAAGGAATGCAGCAAGGTCTAACATTCAGCTAAAGGCTTCTGATCGTCTGCTGAAAGTTACCAGCGAGAAAGAGGGCCTTGTCTTTTGACGTGTGATTATCAGTATGCTGAAAGATTCCCTGCACGATGAGCCGCCTTATTTAAAACATTTGTGTGGAAAAAACTGTGACCAACAGATAAAAAGTGAAACGACACAATCGGTCTGAAAACCCCTGAATGAAAGCCAGTGCTTTGCTTCATGGAGAAGCTTGAGTGAGTGCTTATGATAAGCAGAAGCAGAGCGCCAGTTTAACAGAGAAAGTGCAGTCATGAGCTACTCGGATCTTTCTTGAATTTCTTTCCAAAAAGGCTTATCGTTCCTTCCATCCTTCCACCACCCCCCCAAACCTCTCCTTCAGAGCAGCTTTCAGCCAGCCGCCCCACGGAGAGACCACCCTGCCTTATCTGCTTACTCAGGAAAGAGAGTGTGTGTGTGGTCGTGAAGGCAAGCACGTGTGTAGGAGTAAGAAGTGAGTGCGTAGGTGTGTGTGTCTGTGTTAACCTGAAGTACACTGTGGTAAAAAGAGCAGAATATAAAAATAGAACTGTGACTTTTCTATGGAAGCCCATTTCCACCACCTGGGGAGGGGGGAGCCATTTGTTAAGTCATAATAATTACATTAACATCATTATGACTCATGATAATTATATGACTCTCTCATAATGGTGAGAAAGTGTCTCATAGTAACTCATAATTACAAGAAACTATATAAGCTCAATTATCTCATACCTATGAATTACTATCACTTAGTATCTCAATCATGTTTTCGTAATCAAATGAGATAACAAAAAAAAATAGTATAGTTTCTCAGTAGTATCTCAAATGCCAGTATTCTCAGTAACTCTCAGTAAAAGTGTGATACAACTACCACTTGGTATCTCAATCATGGAGTCACGAGATAACAAAAGAATATTATTTGTATTTTGTATACTTATAACTGAGAAATGGTATTATGAGATCATAAGTCAGCGAGTAAATTACGAGATGCTACTTCTAAGTGATAGTTGTAAAATAGTTGTTCATAATTTTGACATAGTATCTTGTAATTGAGGGATGGTATGTCATTATGAGATACTAATAATTATGAGAGTATATCACAACTGAGATAGTATGTCAACTGTTAAATATGAAGACAATCAGATATCTGAATTATCAAAATTCTCACTTATGAATTACTGTCTCATAGTATCTCATAATGACAGTTTCTTAGTTATAAAACACTACCTCAATATTATGACTTAGTGTCTCCAAATGATGAGATCTTGTAATGAGATTAAGTCATAATAATGAGAAAAGTATACTTTGTTTTTTTGTGGTGAAAACAGGCTTCCATACTTTTCTGATCATTGCTATTGTGTGTGTGAGAAAGAGAGGGAGAGAGACAGAGAGAGAAAATAGCAAACAAGAGATAGCAAGAGAATGATGAGCATCTTCACTACATCAAGCATCATTTTGAGAAAGCATATAGGCACATACAAGTTATGTAGCACTCTTATATAATAGGGCTGCACAATAACGTCTGTTAGGCATTACTAACTAGTTACACTGCAAAAGGCAATATGCAAATGAGCTTCTAACCAATCACTATACTTTATGGGGTGCTATGAGCATTCTGACCAATCAGAGATGTTCGTTGGGTGTTTGGATAAATCAAGACATTCACAAATGTGATAAATTTGTGTCAAAATCCACAGGTCAACATGTTGCATCAAATGTTTAATATACTGCAAAGCATATCGCAACTGCAGTATGAATATAATTACAATGTGCTTTTTTTGTCCATATCATGCAGCCCTAATATACAGGCCTGCACACTGAGGAATACACATTATATTATGCTAAAGGTCCACACACTTAGAACTGCAGTAGTCTCCGCATACACTTCTAATATACTGCACAGAAGAAACAGAGGCTACGCTGACTCACTGAACGGAGGGTCTTGAAAACACGGGCCTCTTTTTAGGAGCAAGTTCAACACCTCATTTCATGTGTAATAACCTGCAGGAGACAAAACCACATCTCAGCTTTAGAAGACAAGTCCAGAACCCACTGGCTTGCTCACTGCTACATGCTGGTTTGTTGGTTAGGGGTAGATTCACTGCTCCTGCGTTCCCCACGAGATGTAGTCGGGCCGTGTAGCTGCGCTGTACTCATCGATCAGGTGCTGCACCACCTCCCGCGAGTCGTCCAACTCGTCAAAGTTGTCTTTGAACATGTCTTCTTTACGGAACTGCTCCAGGAAGGCCTCACGCTTACGCAGCTTATCGTACTGACGGCACGTCCTGTCGAACAGCTGAGGGAGGGACGGAGAGAAAGAGAAAAGGAGAGAAGAGACATGAAAAGACAAATGAGGTGAGAAAACATAAGTGCAGACAAGTTAGTACAAATACAGATTTTCTGAAGACGGCACTCAAGTCATAGATCTCGGCCAGTCTCACTCGGCCAGAATTAAAATGTCAGTAAGGATTTTCCAAAAGACATCAGTTACGCTATGTTTACGTTATGACGGAAGACGGGCGAAGGTAAAGTAGATATTCTGTTATTCAGTGATGTAAAATTGACACCGCCAACAGCAACGGCACCGAAGTGCAGCAAGAGTTTGATTTTCCCAATAAAGAGTAAATAAAGTATGGAATAAAGTGGATGGATATCTGTGTACTTGTATACCTGTATAGCTGTGTAAAACACTGGCAAATTTATTTTTGTAGAATAGCCAATACCACCATAATGAAATTGATGATCATAAAATAAAACAAACTTTTTTTTTATGATGGATATATGGACATCTGTCATTGTTCACTTCTAGAGCTTTAGTGTGTTACAACTAACCCTCCTCGTGCGGTTAATGAGCATCACTGTTATAACCAAGGGTTGTGGGAGGGGCTTACTGAGGAGATGCTGGTGTGATTGGCCATCATAAGGCCACTGACGCGGTGGGCAGACGGCAAATAAGGAGATCTGCGGGAGAGTGCCACCTGGATACTGGCAGGACCCCATGGGATAAAATTAGCCAATTTCCTTTCTCGAATCCTCTGAAGGCTCTTATGGACCTAAGAGAAGAGAGAAACAGAGTGCATAACAAAGAGAATGATTACTTTTACATCATGCTGCAAACACAAAATGTAATTACACTAACTAATATGAAGCAAATTAGTTTTGGTGGTTAACTTTTACACTATTTGGGCAAAAGTTTGGACACCTGACAATCAGCCCTTTATGGGCATCCTGTTTTAAAACAAGAGACATTAATATGGAGTTGCCCCTCTTTACAGCTATAACATTTTGGAGGATGTCTGTGGGAGTTTGTGTCTATTCAGTCAAAAGAGTATTTGTGAGGTCGGGCAATGATGTTGGACAAGAAGGTCTGGCTCAAAATCGACGTCCCAGTTTATCCCAAAAGTGGAGGACAGGCAATTTTTATGCATTTTAGCATTTGGGGGGGCCACCCTGGGAGTTTGTGTGGTCTACTGCTTTGTGACTGAGCTGTTGTTGCATTTAGATGCTTTGATTTCACAATAATAGCACTTACACTTGACAGGGGCAGATCTAGCAGGGCAGAAATTTCACAAACTGACATGACAAAAGGTGCCATCATATGACAGTGCCGTTTTTAAAATCAATGAGCTCTTCAGTACAACCCATTCTACTGCCAATATTTGCCTATGGAGATTGCATGGCTATGTGCTTGATTTTATACACCTGTCAGCAAAGGGTGTGTCTGAAACTCCTGAACTCAGTAATTAGGAGGGGTCCTTTTGGCCACATAGTGTATTTTACTGATCTCACAAATAGAAAGGCAGATAAGGGGTGAAGTGCAGTGACGGCAATGCGTTTAATGTGTATAAATGGAAAAAATGCTTTGATGAATCATAATCTGAGGGTGGTGATTCAAACTGCATCCACTGAGGGCTGCTAATTGCTAATAATTAAAAGCGCACCTGTGTAGGATCCACCTCTCCCTGGATGATGTTTAGAATGGCAATATAACAGTGGTTGGTCTGGCGGTCTCGGCCTGTGGACACCATGACGTTCTTTGGCTGCAGGAGCCTCCTCATCACGTCCAGAACCGTAGTCTTCCTCACACTTGCTACCTACAAAGAGAAGGGGAGAAAAAGTGGAAGAAAATGCAAGAATAGATAAAGTAGATGATGTAATATGGGCTAAAAATCAATGAAAAAGTAATGAAGTTGCTGATTTTAAGCAATTTAAAAATCCAGTAATATCGGCTGATAAAGTTTAATATGATCAAAAATTAAAGTCCCCAACAGTTTTAGTTAAACAATACTGGCTAATAAGACTGTCAGTTCTTAACTGTCAAAATTTCTCAGACTTTATCAGCAGATGCTCTCAAAGTCTGAAATAATACAAACATCCTCACATTAGAGCTGCCTGCCTGTTACAATATAAAATGTATAAATACCAGTGCTACACTGGTACGATTTTCACTGAAAATTCAAGGAATTAATATGAGTCAATTTAACTGATCAAACAATATAATTGGTCAGGATCTACTTTGTAGAATTGGTCACTGCTTACTGATTGGTCAGTGGTCAATGGTGTATAACCAGTCATGAGAAAGTGGAGACGAGGAGTAGGGATGAGGGATGCAATCAACCCAATCAAATCGTTGTTCATGTATCCAGGGTAACGCAGCGTTGTTGTGCTAGCAGACATGATGGTGGAGACCTGTTAAAAATAAGTAAGTAAGTAAAGTCTGCTAAAGGAGCATTAGTTTAATGCAACACATCAACATATCCCTCAGCCTCTTCAGTTACACAGAATTCATGATACTGTTTTCATGTTTTCATCCATTAAAAATGTTAAATATATCATACAACCATTAAAAATCCCTGTGGTGTCAACCAATCCTGACTACTAGCCTAGCAAGCTGAACAAAATTCATAAAGAAGAACATCTATTCTATCTAGGCCTGCACGATAGGTCGATGTAATCGAATATTGTCAATGACTGACAAGTAACCCAATGGACATGCATGAAAGGCGATAATTGCCGTCTTGAGAAAAGAACTGAAAAAACTAGAGAGTTACTAACTTACTGTTTAACAGCTTGTAAATATGTTGGGATATTGTAGTTTATGTTTTTGAAGTGTGCGGGCGCGTGTCCCAGTAGTCCGAGAGAGACAGATTTGTTAAGAAGCTGTCTGCTAGTTCTCTCTGCTAAGCACTATACTGCTACCTTTACCTACCGCACAGCTCTACTCCTTCTACTTATTGTTAGGTTAAGTTTAGCTTGAGTGCACGGAACCGAAAATAAATGCAGATGTGCTTTGTACCTTCAACTTACTTCAGCGTGATTAGCTGCAGTAAAACAACCAAGCTAAAGTGACTGGATATATTACTGTACAGCAGCTAAGCTCTTCTGATCCCCATCTGGGGTTGGAAATTAATATGTACATGTAATGTTTTATTCACTTTTACTGTTAAAACACAGCCATAATGGGACCTTTGATAGCTGCTAGGGTGAACTGCCCTCTGTCTCTGCTGCATGCAGAAAAGTATTTTCAGCACAGCTAAAGTTTCTTGCTGGTTAGCTTAATTATGAAAACTCTGCAATAATGACAGGAAACACTTTGTTCATTTAATATGTAAAGCAGGTGGGCTTGGCTTTGGAAATCACTTGCAGTCTGAAATTTCTCAGAAGATGCACCAGAGTACACCATGAACCTGCACCAGAATGAGCTCATTTATGTACATATTTTAAGTAACGTCTACTTCTATCTTCCACTTCTATCTTCATTAAAATGGACACCAAGGAGCCAAACTGAGGTAAAGAGCTGGGATAGCCAGCAACTTTGCTAAGAGTACCTTTAGCTTCTTAGTTACAGTTAGTTTTTCAAATTTTTCTAAAGTTTCTCCCACCTTCACAACACATCATCAGAAGGGGGTTTTTGTACCCTTTAAACCAGAATATCCCAGTGGAGACAACTGCTGCACCACTGTAGGAGGGGAGTAAGCATGTTTACAACCCTTTAAGAGAAATCTTTAACATGTCACTGTGCCAATTAATGTAGTTACACTGAAAACCAAGTAAGATGAGGAACAAATGTTTTCCTGAAGATTTTGAGTGGACTGACATTACCATTGCGGATATGAAAGAAAGTAAAAACAAAAACAAAATGTGACGATGTTCAATGTTTACCACTCTTTGCCCCAACTTAGTCATGAGGGTGTGTTCATAAGTTGTCATCTGCTTAAATGCAGTTATACTTATGAAATACAGACAGACTGACAGGAGAGACGAGTTTCTAACTGACATGAAATACAGTCACACTTTGACTAATGGCACGGCTGAAATGAAAACGCCTCGGGGCAAAACCGCCGAGCCCTGCAGCAAAATGCACGGGCTAATTCCAACGTAGACTTCAAGAGAAATGAACAGGAGTGCCACACACACTTTTCTCAGTAAAAGTAATATACGACTCTACATATGTCTGGTACATATAGCTGCACAGACAGTTAACGTAACAGGTGCTTTCGCAAACTGACTATTAGTTAATTTAAGTCTAGAGCTTGTGACGTGATTACATGTCTGACCGGCCCTTCAGCCTGGCTGCCGCTTAAGCGCCTTAGTCTTCTGCAAAACCACAGGTACAGGTTTCAGAAGAAAAATGTTCACCACCCATTTATGCCCTGTTGTGAACAACTCAAATGATCATTTATCAAGTTTAACTGTACTTTAACAAGATCTCAGCAGGCTGTGCTTCACCACCCTTTAAAAAGGTGTCCCAGTAGAGGTTTTATAGGAGTATAGATGGTGATGACGCCTGAGGACAGAATTAATGGGTAGATTTAAGCACATGCAGTACCGACAGTGTTCAATGATTCATAGCTGGACAAGGCTCAGCTACAGTAATCTGCTCACTTATGTGTGAGGGGAAAAGGGGAAAATCATGTGTTATGTCTCTAATGGAAATATTTGTGGGTGTAATGATTCAAAAATTTCGAATTCCAATTTTTTTCAATACAGCAAAAATAAGGAGTGGCTGAAAATGAGGCTTATATTAATATGTTAGTATTTCCACAGCATTTGAGATGAACACTGTGCTTTATACTCAGGGCTTCAGACTGACTTTTTACAGCAGTGTTTCCCAGCCTGGTCCTCAGGGCCTCTCAGAAAGTCCCCATTTTGGTCCAACCTAACTCACAACACACAGGGATGAAGGAAAAGTGTCGACCATCTAGGGAACCCTGAGGACCGGGTAAACACTGTCTTACAGAATCACTCCAGAACAGTCCTGAAAAAGTTCCTCTACAATGAACCATTTCACATAAAACCATTCAGAATGGTTGTTTACATTTTAGTGATTAAATTTTGCAAAAATATTGGAAAATTGGTGGATTTCCCCTTGACACTTCAGGCATGCAGTTTACACAACCCTTCTGAATGTGTTAGCTACATTATTACATTAACTACATTGGGGTAAAGGGTAAAAATAACAAATTCGCCAAACTATCCTACACACCTGAAAGAACACCATTCTTTGGCAGGGTGGAGCTGATCCTACATTAGTACTTTGAATCTAAATTTTTGAGGCACGTGCACCTCAGTTTTACTCATATTAAAAAGCTCAATTCAAACAATTCTCAAAAAATCTCCAAACAGAAAGAGAAGCATTCTGCTCAAGGTGAATATCACTGCTTGCTAGCAGCAGTTGTTAGCATTAGAATAATTAGTGTTCTGTCTCATGCAGTAATTCATAAGCGATTACTGGGAATTTATGCTCATCGCATAATAAGCAAAAATCCTATTAAAGAAGCTTAATATTTTAAACCTGTTATGTGAAAAAAACAATAAAATTAATACTTTATGTTTATGACTGGGATTATGATGCAGAGCTTTGTGTCAGCTATTTAAGTCTTTTAGTGAATCCTTTAAACCAACATTTAACCCATTAATGTTCATATGTAAAATGCTACATTTCCTTCGTTTCTCTTGGTCTGTGTGTTTTCTGATGTCACTTAAAAAAAAATCCAAGAATGGCTTAAAATAGATCAAACTATATGGCCTTATCTGATCATATGATGGTTTCTTTGGTCATAAAGCAATAGAAAATTCAAATTTGGTTGTGGGTGAAAGTAAAAAAAGGGACGTGTACTCTAATAAAATCAAATAAGTGCCGTTAGATGTTCCTCCAAAGTATGACTACAAAAAATTTCATCACTTTAAACCAAGCAGAACAAATATGGTATTTTTCCTTAAATTTGATGTGAGAATGGACTCTTCCTTGTCCATGGAACTGTCAAGGAATGATAAGTTCACATGTGAAGAAAAATAGCTGCACTTCACTAATATATATTTATACCTACAAAGACTGAGTGAACATATTCAGTTTCAAAGTGATTTTGTGGTATTATTGACCTTCAGACACAACCCCATTTATGGACATGAAATACGAGACAATACTGAGAGCTGCCAATGGCAAGCAGATTACAGAAGCATTATGAGTGCAGTTCACCAGTCAGTCAAAGGAAATGAGGCTTTAACTAGGTGAGCGAGGCTGAGGTCATAAACCACATACAATTAATACAGGAAAAAGAACAGAATTCTGTTTTTCACAGATGTCACGGATTTGAGCTCCCGAAAAACAAACTTCGATCCTCCAAGAGCGAGTCACGCTCGTCTAACCAGTTTCATGTGTTTTTCATACACATCTGTCATTGACGTATCTGAATTTGCTGTTCTGGAATAAAACTAATTCCATGGTAACAGTGAAGTCAAGTCTAATTTGTGTTCACTATAAATATTCACTGTTCACAAACTAGTTTTGGCTATTATGTGAACTACTGTTCAAAAGTGTGGAAATGATTACTACAATTACTGTTTTTTCAAAATGTAAACATCCTCAGGAGCTCAGTCTTTTAAACCTACCTATCTGCTTGAACTAGACCACTGGTATCCTTTCTTTGCTGCAAGTTTATTATAACTTATGCTCAGTTTGAACTGCTGAGCTGATGTTAAGTGTTTACGTTGGTTGAACTGCAGCTGAAATGCAGCTAGTGTGTTTGGTGACATGACTGGTGTAGAACTGCGTAGGATTGTGTAGAACTGAGGTGTAACCACTGTCCCATAGACTGTTGTTGGGGTAGGAGAATCGGAGCCCACATGAGGTTGCACTGCATGTTAGGGACTGTAGTGCAGCGCACTGTGAAACGGGCTGATATTAATAGAAAATTAGAATACTTTTGCAGGCCGGATAGGATTGTGTCGTGGGCCTGATCTGGCCCGCAGGCTTTGTGTTTCACACATGGGCTCTAGATGAATCATCTACAGGAAATATCTAATATTTCTTCAGTTGTACCAGCATCTATTAGAATTATGTATTACGTGTATCTGCAACAAACTGGTTTTGCACTATTGAAAACAGTGATTCCATACTTTTGAACCGTAGTGTACACTTATGTAATGTCTGAGTCAGGTTTCCACAGAGATGGATTTGAGCAATAGACGTCAAAAAGTCTCACCAGTTGGTTAATCTGTGAGAAAGAAGGGTTTTGGATGTGCAGTCTGTCTGTAGCTATTCTGTTCAGAGCCGTGTTATCCAACACCACCTGAAATGAGAGAGAGAGAGAGAGAGAGAGAGAGAGAGAGAGAGAGAGAGAGAGAGAGAGAGAGAGATTGATAATATATACAGATATACACAAATACATAGACACCGTGCTGTGAAAAAGTATTTGCCCCGACCCGATTTCTTCTCTATTTGCTAATTTGCCACATTCAAACGTTTCAGATTATCCAACTAATTTTAAGGTAAGATAGACATGTGTAAACACTAAATGCAGCTTTTAAATGACCTTTCCATTCACTGAAGATAAAGATTTATTCAAAACCTATATCACCCATGTGAAAAAGTAAATACGCCCCAAACCTAATAACTTCTTGTTCCACCCTTGGCAGTAATAACTGCAATCAAAATGTCTGCAATAACTTGTGACGAGTCTCTTACATTGCTGTGGAGGAATTCTGGCCCACTCTTCTTTCCAGGATTGTTTTAATTTGGTTACATTGGAGGGTTTTTGAGTACTAACTGCCTGTTTAAAGTTTAAACAGCATCTCGATGGGATTTAAGTCAGGACTTCGACTTGGCCACTCCGAAACCGTAAACTTGTTTCTTTTGAGCCATTCAGAGGTGGACTTGCTTGTGTACCTTGGATAACTGTCCTGCTGCATAACCCAACTGCACTTGAGCTTAAGGCCATGAACTGATGGGTGGACATTCTCCCTCAGGATTTTCCGGCAGAGAACAGAATTCATGGTTCAAGTCATCCAGGTGAAAAGGAGCTCCAGACCAAAACACTACCACCACCATGTTTTACTGTTGGTATGATGTTCTCATGGCAGAATGCAGTGTTAGCTTTATACCAGATTTAAAGGGACCCATGTCTTCCAGAAAGTTCCACCTTCGACTCATCAGTTCACAGAATATTATCCCAAAAGTTTTGGGGGTCAAGATGTTTTTGGCAAATGAGAGACAAGCTTTTGTATTCTATTTGGTCAGCAGTGGTTTGCACCTTGTAACTCTCCCACGGATGCCATATTTTCACCAGTGTCTTTCTTATTGTGGACTCGTGTACAGTGACTGTAACTGAGGCAAAAGCATGTGAAAGCCTGAGGCCGAACCACTGAGAGGAACCCTCAGGCACCCAATTCTTCTCTGGGCTGCAGCGTATATGCTAGAAATTGCACAGCATGCCATCGCCGTCATAGAAAAAGTAGCTTTACAGGACTTTATTGGTTTACTTTATTGCTTTGTAGGACTTTATGGACTACCTTTATTGATCCATTCATCATGAATTATTGATACAACATAAATGACAACTAGCCTTTTCAAATAGGGTTAAAAATTGAGAGTTATGATGTTGTTGTCCGAGGGAAAACGTAGCGATATTCAGAGCCAGAGACAGTAAGAGAGCAGAAGGACAGGGCATATTGACCGCTCTCTCGCTGAACTCCTCAGCAGTAAGACAAGAGCCATTCCTCTGCTCAACTTCATTAGCTTCGTTAGCTCCAGTGCTAACTCAATCTCTGTGAGGCTGAGGAGAAGCCTGAGCTAGCGTGCAGCACTGATTCAATAAATCTAACATCGCCCTCGGCCCATGCTAATCACATTAGCTGAACTCCAGTCTGTGCCACAGGGCTAGATTAATAAACAAGGCTCAACAGTAGCAGAACTGAGATTTTAATACAAACAAGGATTACAGCAGCAGAGGAGAAATCACTACAGTAACACAGCTTTCCACAGGTTTATGACTTATGAAGTTTACCTGGTCTGCTGCCTCTGATGAAAATGGAATTTATGACAGTGTAAATGCATTAAGAGAGAGCGCAACAACCAAAACAATGGATTATTCTAATAATATTCAGAAAAATTCAGCAATGCATATAAATTAGGAAAGTTTGTCTAGCTTCCCCCATCATAACAGGGCAAATACTCATACTCCAACATAGTCAGTATCGACATGCAGCATTGCAGACAGTGGCTGTCCTTTCTTTATCTACCCCCATATTGTTGCTGATACCAATACAAATACCAATACCTGGACTAAATAAATAAATAGTAATATTATACTTTTTACAGTCACCTTTTAAAATACAAATCCAAAAGTGGGTGTGGCTTAAACCAGAAATAAGTGTGAAATGATGGAAATGGGTATAATTATTCACTGAAACAGACTATGAATTTGGTATCAAATGAAAAAAATTTTTGATACTCGGTAGTATTAAAGTAATTCAACTTCAATGCCTAGCTCTACTCATTACAAAGCTTTACAAAAGAAGGAAAAAAGTTCTCAGCTTTTATGTACAAGAAATAATGACACAAAGTCATTTTGGACCATTTCTATTGGTCTATTCGCCTGGAAACGTTCACACAATGTACAGGTCAGCTTGGGCTTTCCAATGAAAATAAAATGTGTGTGTACATTTACATTTTCCAACAAAAAACAAACAAACAAAAAAAAAAACCCACAAGCAAATGGGGTTTTGCTATGTTTTGAATTTCCCTCTTGCATTGTTTATACTGTCTTATACCCCATTTTAATCAGGAACAAACACCTCCAAAAGCAAATAATAAGTCATAAGTGTGTCGATAGCTGAAGTACAGGAAGAATAAATGTCTCTTAGGACACATTTCTGGACTTGCAAAATTTTTGCAAGTATGATTATGATGTTCACAGCATAAATAGAACAACTTGTGCAGAAAAAAGGACTTTGAATGCAGGGCAGCTTCATTAATGCAAAACATCAAGAAGAAAAACTACTGAGCAAAATATCTCAATCATGTTAATATTGAACCCTAATTAACTGCCCAATGCAAAGAGCAGCTCCATCAGACTGACGGCTCTGTCTGTGCTCAGCAAGTGAGTTTTATTATAAATATGGAGGAAGATAGAGAAACAACTGGAAATAGAGAGTGACAGAGAGAAAAAAAGAGATAATTTTAGTTGTAGCAGACGAGAGACAGATAAAAGAAAAATAGATAGAAAAAGACAAAGTGATAAAGTGACAAAGAGAAACAGAGATTGATAGATGGAAAGAAAAAAAAGGAGAAGAGTTATAGTGATTGTAAAACCGGTTCATGAGGGCTGCAAAAATTAATCGACAACACTGATTATAAAAAATTGAAAAACATTTTTAGAAATATGAAGGGAAATGGTAAGAGGAGAACAGAGAGGAAGAGAGGATGATAGAAGAGTTGAACTGTCCTCCCTTCCTCCTCCTCGTCCTGTGCCGTTTTGGGAGCGGAAGTGAGGAATGAGTGAAGAAAAGGAGGTCTGTTTGGAGGGATGGATGGTGTAACTGTGAGCAGGAGAAAGGAAATGTGCAGTTAGCTGAGCGCCCAGCGCAGAAGAGACGCTCTGTTCTACCGAGAACACAGAGAAACCCTGAGAACAGCCAGAGAACACCCTCATCTGACGTTGATTCGGCTAATTAGTGGGTGAATGTGTGTGCGCGTGTGCGTGCGTGTGTGTGTGCGTGTGTGTGTGTGTGTGTGTGTGTGTGTGCGCTCACCACACAGTCTGCGTTCTGAGTGAGTCTCTTCAGGGTAAGGAGTGAGTTGTAGGGCTGCACCACCACATCACTCATTTCATCCTGATTAGGAAACACAGAGTACGTCTGGACCAGCTTCTTAGGATACCTGATAGAGAGCGAGAGAGTGAGAGAGAGCAAAAGAGGAAAAAAAGAAAGAAAAGGAGTGAGACAAAAGAGAAAGAGAGTGAGATACAGAAAAAAGCAAGAAAACAAAAGAACAAGAGATAAAGAGCAAAAGAGGAAAAAAGAAAGAAAAAATAGACAAAAAGAGAAAGAGTGAGATGAAAAGTAAGAGAGAACAAAAGAATGAACAAGGGAGACAGCACAAAAGAGAAAATAAAGAATGAAAAAAGAGGGAAAAAGAAGACAAAAGAAAGGGACAGAAAAAAGTGAGAGAACAAGAAAGCAAAAAAGAGGGAGACAAAAAAGGACAAAGAGTGAGATAGAAAAAAGTGAGAGAGAACAAAAGAAAGAATTGGAGAGAGAAAGACAGAGCAAAAGAGAACAAAAAGAAAAAAGAGTGAGAGACAAAGGAAAAAAAAAGAGAAAAAGTAAGAGAATAAAAAAAGCACAAGATATATCAAAAGAGAAATAGAAAGAGTGAGAAAAAAAATGAGAGAACAAAAAGAACAAGGGAGCAAATAGAAAAGAGACAAAAAGAGCGAGAAAAAAGTGGGAGAATGAAAGAAAGAACGAGAGAAAGCAAAAGAGGAAAAAAGAAAGAGAAGAGTGCCAAAAAGAGAAAGAAAGAGTGAGAGAAAAGAGTAAGCGAAAACACAAGAAAAAGAGCAAGAGAGAGAGAGCAGGAGAGCGAGCGAGAGCGAGAGAGAGGGCGATTTAGGTGTGATAGCAGCTGGTATAAATCAGGGCTGTAACAATGAGCCAACCAAGTCGATTAATCGTTAATGATAAAATGACAGCTTTCCATATCGCCAACTAGCGCTGAGTATCGTTCAACACTTTTTGATACAGATACCTGAATAAACTGGCTCGACACCAAATTACAAATTAAAAGTGGGCGTGGCTGGAAGTGGGTATAACGACTGACTGATAAAGAAGCACTGATGTTAATAACATGCATTCAGAATGTAACTTAGCCAATCAGCAGTCTAGATTTTGAAACAAGCATGCTTACTGGCTCATAAATGCAGATAAGACAGACATATCTTGTTTGGGTGTTTATATTTGGTATTGAATGACAGTGAATTGATCAATACTCAGTGGTCGATATCATAAAAGTACTGAATACCCAGCTCTACTGTCTTCACATCATTAAGATTAGTAGAATGCAGTGTACAGTATATACAACACAGTACACAGTATACACACTGGTGCAGTATACAGGATAGGCAGTATATTGGAGTCAGGAACCTCTAACAAAAGAAGGGTAGCTATTAAAGTGGTGTGGCTGAGACCCCACGTGCATGGCTATTGAACGCACTCATAAAAAGAGCCAATTATACTGCTGAACACCTTCATGTGCTTCTAATTACCCTCAGAAGCACCTCCTGACTGCAAAGCCACACAGACAATACACAGGACAGGGTGGAGAGAAATTCTACAGTAGAATGACGATATAGAACAATAGGAATGGCCGTCTGAATGAATCTTCATCAACATATGCGGGTGAGGTGGAGTACTTCGGTTGTCAGACAGTATCCTCTGTGAGCTGAGTACAGTTAGCTTTTACGCCATAAAAATTGTTTTAAAAAAAAAAATTAAGAAAGAAATATTGCAGAAATTAATTGCAATATTTTCCAGTGAACTATTAAATACAGACTACCATGAAAGAAAGAAAGAAAAACTCCCCTCGAAAGTGTGGGCCGGCTTCCCGGACCCAAATAAAGTCTAAGCCTAGACTATAAAGAATTTCCAATGGTGATTCATCACTGCGATTACAATTAGACCAAGACCAGGCTTAATCCATGTCTGTGAAACCAGCCCAGTGAGTGTTTAAATTCCTTTGCCTTCTAAAATCACTTGATAGTATTAAGCTTTCACCAGAGACTTGTTTTGGCAACCTGGCAAAATGAATGTTGGCACTTTTTATACGTCTGTATTGAAAATGTATTGTATCCTGGTGCAAAAACCACATTACATGTCTTATCATCAAATTTGTGTATCATTACACCTTTAGTGTATGTTATGGATATAATGATACTTAAGGACTGTTCATACTGTATTGTAAGGTATCGATGTAGCATGATATCCTGGGGCTTTTTAAAGCATAGCTTTAAATTAGTGTTTCTGTGCTGCTAAGAAACCAGCCTGCGTGGACCAGGCAAAACATTCTTTTGTCTGAAAAGAATTCTGTCTGAAATATTGCACTTTTATAATGCTGAATGCTCTAATCTAAGCTCTTGTACTTCCCTTTTGCGTCTCCACAGCAGAGTTAGATTATCAGGTAAAAATAAAATAATCCTCCTTTGCAGTAAAATAAAGCTCTGCTGATCGTTCAACACAATTTTACTAATAAATGGTCTTAAATGCTGGAGTTAATGTAGAACTTTAACCCTGAAGACTGGCGCACTGCTGGTCACACAGCAATACAGACATCAGTCTCGCCTAGCTAGGATCTAACGACATGGCAAAGAGAAAGATTTAAGACAATCAGTGATTTGGAGACAAATGGACTCATTTATATTCACTCCAGCTGGTTTCCTGATACGGTTAATCTGCAACGAGAAACTGTCAAAATAAAAAAAGTCATGAAGCTGAAGTCAGTTTCTCCTTCGCCAGCCTCTTGTTCGAGTTTTCATGTTCAACGTTAGATGGTGCAGCAGTTACATTCTGGCGCCTCAGGCACCATTTAAGGTGGAACTAACAGGGGAAATTAGAACAAGAAGCTGGCAAATAAGAAGCTGACTTCAGCCTTTTAAAAGGTCAGACGTTGAGAGACATTTTACAAGAAACTATTCCACTTTAGCAAAAACTTTCCTGCCGGAGATGCGAGAAAAGCAGCTATAGCTGAGCTAAAGCTTAAAGCAGAGCTTTATATGTTTTAGTCTATACTAGTACATTAGCACAGACAGACATATTTACAGCCAAGATTGTAAAACAGTGATAAAACGTTGTGGCTTCCAAGGTGGTTTAATATTTGTTGAAAGGACAAAATGGCTCTTCTTAACATTTGGGTTGCGACCCCTGCTTTAATAAAATGAAAACGGAAAGTATAGATGTGCTGATATGTGAATACTGAGCCGATGCAAATACATGATAATTTTTTCATACACTATCAGTCCATAATGCTTACGTCTCATCTGTCAATACTGATACATACACAATTGTAAATGTATATGGGACAGATTCCACCTTCACATTAGAGCAAAATGTAAAGCTTATTTGTAATGGGGCACCAATGCAGGAAAAAAGGGATGACTTAAAGGCCCAAAAACCACAATGCACTTGGTTTTAAGATGTGTAAAATAAATATATTTGTCTTGTGATTCATTTTCTTTTTACCAGTGACGTCTGTCTGTGTCCTGAATCAGCCCTGCTATGCTGTCTGGCCATAGAATGTTGTGTAGCAGTATGAGATGGAGCTTTGTTACTCCTCCTCTGCCCACCCACACCTCCTGATAACACTGTCGATCGGCGATGCCTAAAGGGTGCGATCAGGTGATGGTATACTGCCCACGATATCAGACAAGCCTGGTGTGAGCTGAATAGTCTGCTCTTCAAGAATTACAGTAAATGTGTCATAAAATAACAGTTTAAAATATCAGTCAAATCTAAACAACTGTCTAAAACTGATTGTTTTTTAAACAATAATCTGCCAAAACCAATATGATTCTGATATTTTAGTGTATCCCTCACATTTTGAAATTGTACTGAATCGAGGCAAAACTGTATGGTATCCAGCTGAATTGTAAATTCTGGGAATTGGTACATGCCTAGAGCATGTCTGTGTTCTCACCTGTCATTCAGTTTTTCCAACAAGTACGAGCCTAGGCCAGACCCTGTTCCTCCAGCGATGGAGTGGCACAGTACAAAACCCTGCAGAGCAGAACGTGGCAGATTTAGTAAAAGACAGCATTAAGGAGGGCAGATGCATACTGTAAGGTACTATTTGAGACCATGAGGACTATTTTAGGGGTAAAACAGCCCACTCACCAAAAGACAATTTACCACCCAGCACACACAGGCCCTAATGTTAGGTAATAAAGTGAGCGGGGTAATGGCTCAGATTAGCCACACGAGCGCTGGTCCCTCTGTTTTTTTAAAGGGAGGAACTTTTACCGCCTGCGAGTTAAGAGGGCATAAAAAAAGCCATGAAATAACACCCTCAGTGCATATGCTCTCTATATGTGTATGTATGCGTGAGACTCCAGAGAACTCTGTAACTGCATTTACGTCATCAAGCTAAAGAGAGCATGCCTGCTAGCACAGTGAAAAAAAACAACATGAAAACAGGCAGCGCAAGTCACTCCTCCATCTGGAGGTGATTACAAAGAGGTCTGGGTGTTTTTTAGGCCAACCCAACCCAACCCTACGCTCACGTGAGGTGAGAAACGTGAGACTAATGACAGCAGGGTAAAAAAATAGAAACAGTAAAACACATCAGATCATCCATCAAAGCTGATGAAGCTTTGTCTTCAGAGTCCTCTGAAATGGACTCAATGGCCAAAAAACCCAATCAACGCTACGGCGCACATATGCCGTTACAAAGGGATAGCTTAACAAATTTCCTCAACTCCAAGCAAACTTACTAGTTTTTTTCCAATGAAAAATATCTGCTAAAAGTACGTATTTTAGAATACTACTAGGCTTAAAGGGCTGTTATAGAAAACTGAAATTTCCTGCTTTTTTGTAGGGCCAATATCCAAAGTCCACTTATATCAGTTGTGTGAGTTTCTGTACCCAAAAACAACCAGAATTTATTCACACAGGACCATTTTTTCACCTTTTTTTATTCATCAGAATTAAATAGGCTGTTTTGTTGCTGTGCCTTTAAGACTGATACATGTAAATGACTTCTGTTCTGATTGGCTTCTTTGAATTGAGCCTAATTCAAAGAGCAGAAGCATTTCCTATATCGTCAGCAAGAATGTGCAGGGCTAAACTGATGTGGGCTGAATAGGTTATATGGATGACAGGATATATGAAAATGCATTATTTTTCTATAGTTCAGAAAAGCAGTTATTTCAAAACAGGTTGTTTTTGCAGCTTAGTTTCCATGTTTGACTGTATGTACTGAGGACTAAACTGTACATTTTGGAACTTCAGCAATGATCATGTGATCAGTATAGTCTTATTTCAACAAAACCTTTTTCCATGATAAGGGCCCTTTAAATAAAATAGTCTAATTCAACATGTTAAAGTTTCAAAACGTATCATTCACTTTTAAAAATTGTGCCAGTGCGCACCAAAAACACACTTTAATTTAGTCATAGTCAATACATGGAAGTACATAGACGGTAAACTACAAAAACATCTGTTGTTTTTATGATGTCATGACAAATACATTTGTATATAGCCATACATTTAGCCTGTATTCACAAATGCTCTTATTACAAATAATGATAAACAGTACAGACAGGAGAGCAGCTCCTGCACGTTCAGAGACTACAGTGAGAAACTCACCTCCAGACTGTCACTGCCATCTGCCTCTCTGTCAATGATGTCAAAGATGTCTTCATGGATTTTCTCACCCTAAAAGGACAAATCAGGTTAAAGTATTAAGAGTCAAAATAAAAAGGCAAAATCAAAATAGCAAAAAAAGCAATAAATAAAGTAAAAAGATAATGACAAAATACATAAATACTTAAAAAAATTTAACATACAAAACAGCTAATAGCTGATAAATTCATCTGAATGTCATTTGCATGTGTAAGAGCTGATTTAATTGTTTTAACCTTTAGCTTAGTTTAGTTTTAACAATTAGAATAAATTTAGGATGTCTGTCATTTTCATGTAGGACACAGACTTGTTCCACATATCAGTTTTGCTATTTAGAATGCAAAATCGTTGACGCTCAATATCTCAGAATTGCTCAGAATGCAGATAAAATCTTTTAATTAAATCACAATAGTTACAATTAATTTTAGCCTGCATTATCAAAAAAATTAGTAGGAAAATTTAACACACTAAAACACTTTCTTATTTCTTGAGTCTCAATCTGCACCCAACACTACTGGAGCACCAATCAGCATTGGCTTGACACACAGCTCCACACATTCGCCCAATGCATGGCTGAGATTTTGGAGGCGCGCACGTCGAAACTTCTGCAAGCTACACTTATCCATAAACTAATTTTATGCGTCTCAACAGATACATTTATGTGCATCTTCACAGATGTATCAATCGGCCTTTACACACCTGGGAGAAGCCACTGGCCCAGTTGTTTCCGGCCCCGCCGCCGTGCTCAGAGAGGTAGATGTTCTCAGGGTTGTACAGGTTGGCGTAAGGGGAGTTCAGGATTGTGTGGATGACTCGGGGCTCCAGGTCCAGCAGCACGGCTCGAGGAATGTAGTGCTCGTCATCTGCCTGTAATGGGACAGAACAAACACACACATTAGAGCTTGAAACATCTGTCAAAACCTGACAAGGCCCAATTATTCACGTCAGGTTTGGACGTCATTTCTCAAACGTTTGTAAGGCTCGAGTAATTTCATCTCCGAATCCCATCTTTAATGGATTTTGCTCTGCATTTGCCCCTGCTCTGTCTTTTGTACTTCATTCTTCCTTCCTACTTTTATTCACAGAAAATGTATTTTAATGTGGAGTCACTTGTGTTATTGTAGCAATGTCCATGAAACCTCCAGAGGAAAACAAACAAACAAACAAACAAACAAAAAAACCCTTATCTGAAGTTCATCCAGGCTCTTTGAAAAAAATATTTGGGATGCTGTTCTAAGGCATCAACTGAAAATTTGTTAGGTTAAACTTTTTTTTTTTTTACAGTGGTGGTGACAAAAAGCAGGGTTGCGATGTCTACAAATATAGCCATTTTATTTACTATTCAAAAAGAACAACCATTCTTTTGGTACTATTGTGCCTTACAACACCCTGCAAGCATCTCTTCACCCTGTCTGAACTTTAAAAAATATATTTAGGCCAAAATCTTTTCTTAAAATTTTGCTAAAAATGTTTCAGGCATCACATAAGGTCTATAACCAATTCATGTAATGATAATAGCTTTATTTATTATGCGAGAACTGGGATTTTTTGCTCTTGGGCTCCCCCTACAGTTGTAGAGTGTATTTCACTTTTACATCACTGTAGTAAATACAAATTGCATTTTGAGGCCCTCTTTTTTAGTTCTCGCCAACGGGTAAAAGCCAGTCTCTTTCTCCCTTCCTCCGACAACGTCTTCTGGTACCATAGTGTTACGCAGTTCTCGCGAGAGGTTTTGTGCCCACTCCTCCAAAGTTACATAGCACTATAGCAGGTGTTCTGGGCTAGAAGTGGTAATGACAGAGATGCCATTCTCCCTAATATCAATCAGTGTATCATTAAAATGATTTTGAAGCTGTTATTCTAAGGTAAATTGTTATATAATATTGCTTTAAAGTCTTCAGATGCCTGGTTTCCATCACCGCCACTGTGAAGTTTCTCCAGAACAAGCATTTCACATGAAACCACTTAAAGACTTTGTTTATATCATAACGATTAAATTCTGCAGAAATTATGCTGCTCAGGTTGGGGCAGAACTTTGTCTGGATACAGTCAGGTTTGCAATCTAAACGTCATGCTGTGGGTCCACCTTGGGCTAAATGTGCTTGGGCTATTCTGGGGCTTAGAAATGAAACATATTCAGGCCTGATTAAAACTCTAAGACACATGCATCAAATGTCCAAAGGGAGTTCATAGAGAATTCTCAAAAACATTAGAAGGTGTTCTTTTAGTGTATGAACCCCTACATTAGTGCATAATAACTTCTAATTTTTTTAACTCTAACCCTAAAACAGTGCAAAATGAAAATATCATTGCTCACAGAGCAGTGATTCCTAAAACTACAAAACTATTCCGAAACAAAAATTGTCAGTCCACTTTGAAAAAAAATTACACAATACCATTTTTTTGGATCGAAATAGACCCGGATTGCTCCATCTTGGCCCTGGAGGTCTTCCACCCAGAGGGGTTCACATCCAACACACCTGACTTTAACATCTGGATGTCCCTAACGGCCTTCAGATGAACAGGTGTGTTAGGTTAGCATTGGAGCTACACTCAGCAGGCGGTGGATCTCCAGGACAAGGACTGGGCACCCATGAAATAGATGATCACAGTCCCTACATGCTGCACGGTCCCTGTCCATGGCAGCAGATGCTTTGCTGAAATATGTGAATATGTGGAGTCAGGCTCCCTCTTGTGGCCATTTGATATACATTCAGTGGACTCTGGTGTTTTATCATAATGTAGGATTAGACACATCTACACAAATCAATCTTAAATCAGAATTTTATGCACCAAAACATTATTATGTTTTTCTAAACTTACTCATTACCGTACTGACGGCAATTGCTGGAGATGGCAGCAGCTGGGCTGCCTCTCCTGCTACTATGCAATTTTCTGTTATTTATTTGTGCATTTCATCTATGTTGCACACTGTCCGCCTAAGATGAGCAAACTACACATTGTCTGTGATCCACCAGCACACGTCTGTGTCTCTAGCTTATTCTGTATTTACTGTCTATTCATTATTTTTTGTACTTATGGTGTGTATATTGTCTGTCATGTGCACTCATGGCCTTGTCTTAATGTTTATGCACCAGGGAAGTAGCCTGTACATGTTTCGTTATACTGCACCCCCTGTATGTGTATAATGACAACTGTATAATGAACTGAATTGAATAATTTTATTCACAAGTAGACTTGAAATGGACACCAACACCAGGCCTGGACTGAAAAGGAACATAAAAGTGTATCATCATTTGCTGTTGCAACGTCAGCATTCACAACACTGACATCACAGAAACGTGTAATATAAAAATTAAATCAAGGGTGTTGAAGTTTTGCCCTCTTTGCTGCGGTAACAGCCTCTACTCTCCTGGGAACAGCAATGTTCCAATATCTACACTAGATGCTGGAACATTGCTGTAAGGATTTGATTGAATTTTGCCACAAGAGCATTAGTGAGGTCAGGTGCTGACACTGGATGATTAGTTCTGCATCACTCTAACTCATCACTAAGGTATTGGATCTAGCTCAGTTCGACTGCTCAACAACCCAATGCTGGGGGGCTTTACATCTCCCCTGGCACTGGGCATAGTAACCTTAGGCTCATGTGCGGCAGAAGTCTGAGCATTAATATTAAAGCTGAAAATACTAAAAGCACAAGGACAAATGCTTTTCATCTTATGTAATGTCCAAGTACGTACCATTTTCCAGAATGCAGGTGTCTCCAACACGTTTACCATTTTAGTTTAGCAAGTCTTTTTTTATGTTGAACAGTTAATAAGACTGGCCTTGTTGCAGGGCTGGGCAATATGACAATATGCACTGCTATCATGATAAATTATGTCACAATACAACACGCTTTTCTGAACGTATCGTGAATATCATCAGCATTAGCAGAACACTGACCAACAATGTTTCATTATAAAGAGAGCAAAATAAGTTATCCCTTGTTTATTACAATTGCACATAGGAGAGTTCTTACACAGGTCCCTCCTGTCTCTGTATATTTTGTGTATATTTATTATATCAGTTCTGTTTTTAGCATGTATTTAATGTTGCCCTGCTGTAGAGTGATTACCTGAGCCTCACCACAAGCATTTCAATGCATGAATGTCCTGACATTGTGCAAATGACAAATAAACTTGAAATGTGAACTTGAAACTTGTCCCATTTAACTGGATTTAGTGCAACACACAGTATGTGAAATACTAAATAATACATTTTTTTAAAAAATCACTGTATTCAGTTTTTGACAGTCTTTTTTTTTGCACTACCTGTTCTTTTTCTGTTCCAACTGAACAGAGACAAAAAAAATAAATATCATGAAACGCACCATGAAAATGTCTTGAAGTGTCGCAATATTATATACATATTTTACCATAATGCCCACCTCTGCTTTGTTGCACACAATAGACTAGACTTTCTACATTAAATGAGAGATATGAGAGTGAAACATGAAAGTGTGTGAAACTTATGTAGGCATATTCTTTTAAATAAAAACAAATCTATTAAACCACCATTCGAAAGTTTTCATCATCTGTCGTAAATAATTGCTGTTCTTTGATTTAATAATACACAGAGTAGTACATAGTGCATAATAATTTATACAGTATAGGCTGAAAGACCATAAATTGGACACCAGAAGCACTTCAATATGTTCTATTAAACAATTAAGTTTTTGGGGGACTCTAAAAAGTTATTAGAATACTGTGATTATTTTGGGCAATATGTTGGTACGTTATCTGAGATTTGATCACCAGTTTTAAAAACGATGCAATCAGGATGATAATTTGATTACATCATATATGACTGTCTATGTTATACAGTTTTCTCAATCATTTTACAAACATCTACAGCTCTGCTCGTCGTTCTGGACACACCTAACATTTTTCTGTTTTTTTTTTTTTTTACAGCTAAGTTGAAATCTGTTAAGTTGTAGAGCACTAGACAGATTTAATTTATGTATGTATCTGCACCCATTTTTAAAATGTTATGGAAAACAGTGATCCCAAATTTTTGAACACTAGTGTACATGAAAATCACTAGAAAACAAAGCCCTCAAGATCAGGTTATATATCAGACTGCTAATGTGCGGCTGCTCCAAAGTGTCCGATTCTACTGGTCAATGTCTTTCTACGGAGATTATACAAGCTAAATGCACATAGTTGAACACCTGCGTCAGCAATAGGTGCACCTTGAAATAGCTGAATTCGCTAATCAGAAGGGCTATCTGGACACTTCTGAACATGTCGTGTATGTGTCACTGTACCTGATAGAAGAATACATCTTTCCGGTCAGTGCCCTCAGTGGCAAACTCCTCCACTATACCCTCAGGACTGATTCCATGCTCGGCACAGAGCTGCTTCCAAAATTCAAATCCAACTGTAATACACAGGGAACAACACATTACAACTAAGTAAAAATAAGACAGAGCCTGACGGTCAGTTAAAACACCTTTATTGTCTGCCGAGAAGAACTGTATGAGTACACAGTATAAACAAATAAAACAAATCTGAAGAATATTTTCAACTGATCGAACCATAAAGTGAGTTATCATCGCCTTTTTTACATTAATTTTAGTTTCTTGGCCACATGGGAGCACCGATTTTTAACAGAACAATGGAAAAAGCAAAATTCGATTGTACGTTATGAAAATGACATACAATCCCCCCCAGAAAAAAGAAAAAAGTACTGTAAGTCCAAGTCTAATTTAGGTACTGCTAGATCCAAGATATAACAGAAAAATGAATTACTTTAGCCTTACTGTTGTTGTTGGGCCATGAAGGAGTTAGCTAATACATACAATTGAAGAGGAATTCCACCATTTTCTGTGTATACTACCTGCATAACAAAATTATTAAGATGTAAACAAAATAATTCGAAGTAGTTTGATGTGAAACTCAAATTTCTAGAGAAATTCAGAATAAGAACTGTTCATAGTGATGGTGAGAGGAACCAGACATTCAAAGTATTTAATGCCTTTAAAAGCTCCCTCACAGAAAGTTTTTACATTAAAAGTACACTGCCTGATGTCTTGAGACAATAACAAAACTTTGGCTTACAATTAACAAAATTATATATAAACACATACTAAATTGGCTATATTTGTGTTGTAGACACAGCAACCCCTTCCTATCGCCACCTGTAAAGACTTTAAATGGCAGCATTAATGTCAACACTGAACGATTTTGCATCAAACCTCTCTGAAAGAGGGTTTTCATTTCAACTACTAAGTTACGCAGAAAATAAAAAAAAAAAAAAAAAACACTGGAATTTAAACTGGAAACTCTCTTTTACATACAAAAGGCTTTAAACATGCTGTCTCACTTGGAGCTTTGCTCAAAAACTGAAATTAGGGCAGCAGGCATGTCTGTGAAGGTTTTCATGTAGGTCACTGAATTGTCTCATAGTAGTAAGCCAAGGATACAGGACCTTGGAAACGTCTCGAAGTAGTAAATGAGTTTCCACCATTTTTTTGAGATGTAAACAGAGTCATTCAGTGTGTTTTGACATAAAATGGTTCAATGTACAGAAACATATTGACTCTGACTTCTTTACAGTGGTGGTGATAGGAACCAGGGGTCACAATGTATATGTATGTATTGATGATTATGGCAAAATAATCATAGATCTGAGAAAAAGTTTTCTTTTGGGGATCACGTTGCCTTACAACACCCTGCATGTACCCCTCTGCCATGAATGGACTAAAATAAATGGAGTGAAATACATTTTAAGGCAAAACCTTATCACAAAACAATTTGTTAAACAACAGGCAGCATATACTGAGCATTTCACACCAAACCACTCTGTATGACTTGGCTTACATCTCAACGATTTAAGTATGTAGAACTTTTGAAAAATCGGTGGAGTTCCCCTTTCCACAGTTCTCAACGTTATTTCAATATAACAATGAGAACTGACTTAGTACTACCGTTGTTACTACTTCTACTAGACACTTAGACGTGCAGAGAAGGAATATTATAGCTAGCTACCTACACATGTAACTAGAAATGTAGCTGCAGTATTGTACATATGGGTTTGGCTAGCTAACGTAACGCTAACACCCTGCCAGCAACAGCAAGTTGGCAACCAAACAGAAAGGACGAGGCTTTAGTCAGCTCATTATTTGCCAGCTTCTTGTTCGAATTTTCCCGTTCCACCTTAAACGGCACAGCAGCATTAACTTTACTAACTGGGTTTATTCGCCCTGTTGGTCGATTGGTTGTGGCTGTTAGCTGCTGTTCGTCAATGATGCCAAGCAGCACTGCTTTCTGTACGAAGCTGAATTCAGCTTCTTATTCGCCAGCTTCTTGTTCGAATTCCCCCGTTCTACCTTAAATGGTGCAGCCGTAATTGCAGGGCAAATTAACCCGAGTTAGTAAACTTATCTTAGCTAGCTTTAGCATAGCACCGCTCCGTTACGTTATGTGTCAATGAGGTTGGCTAACGCTAACAAACTTAGCATCATACGCGCTTATTAGCAAGCAGGTGAACGTTTTATGAGCTTTAGCCATCTTACTTTGATTTCCACACTGTCCCAGCTGCAGTGTTATGATCTCCCGAGGCATGTTGCTCTTTTTCTTGGCTTAACCTTGTATATTTTGTTGTTTAGAGGCCGTTACTGAGCTTTCATTCCCTCCTTCCCGCTTCAACAGCAACAAATACCGCAGAACGGCGGGACGTACTGCGCATGCGCGGAGCACAACGCTGCCGTTGAGTCCATAAAGTGGACTTCAGGGCGGAGCTACATGTTGGGCTTGTCTTTGACCCCGCCCCGTTTTCTTGGGGCGGAGCTACGTGTCGTTGGCCAGCCTAGTAACATTCATTACGAATGGTGACGGAGACGTTAGCTCCGCCCAGGTGTACCGTTTCCCCGCCCATTGTCCATATATGGACGTTAGGCATATTAAAATAACCATAGCAAGAACAAAAAAGAGAAAAAAGAAATTATATGTGCTGTTTTGATTCTAGTCTTCGTGTTTATCCTGACATATGAGATTCATTCTGCACCCTGCTCCTCTTCTTTCTGGAGCACTGATGAGACAATAGGCCATGTAGTCAATGTTGCCTCCCTCTGGTAAAACCATGATCACTGCAGCTAAAAGTTAGTATTTATAACGCTAATTTTAGCACTCGTGAAGAAGAAATGCAGGATACTGAAGAATTAACCTATACAATCTCAAGCTGACAGCAATGTTGGTCTGTAATAAATACACTACAAAATATCCACTAAACTAAATAAACACTAAACTGTGCAATTCAGAGAATGCAGGAGAAAATTCATTTTATTTACAGAGCACCTTTCATTAATGGTTTACACTGTAAACTTTACAGTGTTATTTACAGGAGAATACAAGGGAAGTTTTTTTTTTAATAAAAAGTAAAAAGTGATAAGGATAAATCAAATGAAAATAACTAACTGGTCAACTGAGAAATCCTGCATTGTGAAATATCCTAGGGGTGGCCAATATGACAGTATGTTTTTGTCATTGTGATAAATTACATCCCCCTGTTTTTCTGAAGCTATCATTACTACTTTAAAAACACAGAACACTGACCCACAGCAAATCTTTGTTAATACAGCATAATTAGTCATGCTTGATTAGATTTAGTGCAGTATGTTAAATTTTAAATGTAAAAAAAAATTATGTACTAAGAATTTTTGTCTTTTCAGCACTCTGTCCGTTCCACCTTAAAGTGGACGTTTGAGGAGCTTTGCTGCTTCATGTTTACTGAGCTGAGGACTGAACTGTAATCCTGCTCTTACATTGGCTGTAGCTGTAGCCCTTCCTCCGTCTCTCCGGCTGGAAGACAAAACAACAACCGTCAGAGCAACGAGAAGATCATGACTGCAACTTGAGACTTTATTTGTTGTACGTTAAGTTTACGTTCGCTTCTTTAGAAAGAAACTGACTCCAGCAATGAATTTGATTTCGCTTGTCCATAAAAACCGTGACAGCGCTTTACGTAGCTGAGCTGTACTGGCTTAGCTAGCTCTCAGCCGAGCTAAGCTAAGCTAAGCTAAGCTAGCAAGTTGACGTTAGTTAGTTTTACTTTAATTTATTTTTTAATTTTGTTCGTATTCACGGGGATTACCTTGTGTATTTACACCACTATCATTGTTTGCTGTAGTTTGTGAACGTAACTATGGCGCAGAAGAGTGGAGCTGGGGATGCTGGCGAAGGCACCGGCGCCGCGGCGAAAGGCTACTCGTGTTCGGGCCTCAGAAGTCGGCCGCGCTCCGGCGAGAAAGACGGACAGGTGCGGGCTGTGAAAGCGCTGCTAATGGAGAAGCTGGGTCCGTATGAACGGCTGGTGACCTACATGCAGGCTGTTCTGGTGTGGGAGAGACCTTTCCACAGTGTGCTGTTCCACGTTTTGGTCAACGCTGTCTTCTGGTGAGTTTAACAAGGCAGCACAGCAAGAAAGCCGAGTAACAGCAGTTAGACAGGTTAGCGGTGTTGGCTAACTTCTTCAACTTCGCTTCAACTCACAGCCACAAATTTAGGTTACTGTGTTGTAAAACCCTTTCATGGGTTTAGATGAGTACTTATATGCATGAGAAGTGCTAAAACATGGATATTTGATTGTGCCACTTTGGAAGTGACGAAGCTGAAGTCAGTTTCTTATTCGAATTTTTCCGTTCCACCTTAATTGGTGCAGCAGTTACTATCAGAATGTTACTGCTGCACTATTTAAGGTGGAACGGAAAAAAGAAAAAGAAGCTGGCAAATTGGAAGCCAACTTCAGCCTAGTCTGGAAACCAAAAGTTTAACGCTGCAGGAGAAACATTTCTAAATTAGCCTGGAGTTGTGGTCAGCAGTAACCTGTTGTAAGGCTATAATGATCCATGTACGTACAGGTTCGATACGATTTTCGATTCTAAGGTGAAGATTCGATTCGATTTTCGATATGTCCATGTTGAAAACGAGTCTATTCTACATTGCTGCAATTATATAGTACAGATATTGATTTGGTTCAGAAAAAAATGCTTTCAAGTTTGCTTTCAAAACAAAAGATCGTTCTCTTGCAAAATGATCTTAAAAACTGTGCAACTGAGCAGTAAACAGTAGTAAAATAGATAGGCTGAAGCTAGATGCCTTTTTTGATCACTGACAGTGGTTTCCATGAAAAACTGTGGGTCGTGTTGGTTATCTGGTTTAAATTCCAATTATTAAAAATGTAATTTTTTGCACTGTTTTGGGATCCTTATGCTCTTGTAACATATCCCACATACTAATGAGATGGGTAAATAAGTATAGAGGAATGAAAGTATCCATTATGCAGGTGTGGAAACTGCTGTATGTCCAGTTTCTTTTTCTCTGGATGAGCATAACCAAATGCTTGACCTCTGATAAAGTGAGATGACACCCTCTAAAGGGATCATGGCTAGATGGTCAGTGGCTCCAATATAGAGACTCCAGTTTAGAAAAGTATAATTTTAATTATATAAACTTTTGAAATCTGTTTTACAGTAATAGTAACTGCTCACATTTAGATTCACAAGTGGCTAAAACCTCTCACTGTTCAGCTTCTAAATTCAGTATTTTGTGTTGATAATAAGTGCAGTAATGTTAGATAGTTTAACATACTGGGAACCATTTAACGTTTTGTCCCTCCCTTGTTTTATCTGTTACCAGAAGCGCCTGAATGTGTCTGCTGTTTAACTTCAGTGTTACAGAGACAGATGGCGCCTATATTTAGGCTGACAGCAAAGGCTGGAGTGAGCTGCTGGAAAGTTAGAGCTGGAAAGACAGAGGCATCAATACAGCTGGTTTGGAAAGACCAATAGCAAACAGCAGTTCCATTTTTCTATGTATTAGCGATCCATGGTTGGGTGAGCATGTTGGAACAAAGGTTGTGTTTGCAGGACCGTTTGCCAGCGTGGTATTAGTATTAACATCTGCTTGGGCGTCCCATTTGCAGTTGGTCTTATTTGCTCTGAGGTCTGTTCTTATCCTGCTTTTCAGTTTACCATAGGCTTTGTCATCCTGCATTGAAGTGAAAAAGAAAAACAAAACAATCAGATTTCAGTTGGTCCTAGCTATTACTATGCTAATGCCCTGCCTCACTAATCTAAATAGGTCAAGAAATGTTGATAATAAGCATGTAATTATTTCAGAACAGTTCTCAAAAACTTGTATCTAAATTTGAAAGTTGTTCTCTTCTGAAGGTCTTTCATTTGCCATGTTTTGTGGAAATCAGGTTCAAAGATTAACACCAGTCATCTTGGTGCATCCTGTCAGAGCAAAATGTGCAGATGAGATGGGGATTATGATCTAGACACATATAGACAGGCAATAATAGCCTTTACTGAGCAATAAAAAGAGCCTTGCACAACCTTTCAGAAAACCTAAAATACTTTACTGGGAAAATAAATAGTTGTGTCAAAAAAGAAAGTGTTGAGAGCATTTGGAGAATTTTAAATATGCATTATTATTATGCAAATTGGCATTGGGGATTCGTCAAGGAAGCACTTTTTGTGTACATCTCAATTCAGTAATATGTTGTTGAGTGTCAAAGTGTTCATAAGTTATTGTTAATTGTTCATGGTCAGTTATTCGCATGCTATTCTCATCACTGGTTCGTGCAGTATTGAGCCGTTTCCCTTTTGTCCAAGCTGTCTGCTGTAGCGTAGTCTTGCGAGCTGTGATATAGGTTAACTTCTAGTGTTTATGGTAGTTGTAGTCAGGTAATTCAATCAGTAGAGAACAAATCCAGACGTTCATAAACAAAGGGTTTGAAAGGGTTTACAGTTTAAATGCAAACCTTTTATGGTGCTTTCACTCCTACCTTGTTTGGTGCCGACCAGTCAACCTTTTCTTTAGTTCGGTTTCGATTTGACAGGTGTGAACACACCACCTGTACTTGTGTACGCACTAGACAAATAAACAAATAAATTTGCCAAAAATCGCAGGTCTTGGTCTGCTTCCATGTGCACTGTGGTTCAGTTTGCTGCTGGTAAGAATGTATTTTTACACTTTGGTCCACACCAAATGAGAGAATTCAGCATCAGAGCATCTTTTCTTCTAGGAGCACACCAGTGCTGCACTGTCTGCACAATTTCCCTAACTTACTCTTGATAGACACTCATTCTTGCTGCACAAGCTGCAGCTAATAACAGCAGATCAGCATTAAGACAATGACAAAGCAATGCATTCATTTCGAGCATATATGTGAGGCCTAGAAATGGATTTTATACAGTGAAATGGTTGTAAAAATGTTTTTTGCCTCTGATGTGAAAGTAAAAGAGGGCTAGTATCCCCGCCAAATTTTAGCAAACAGCCATGTTTGTAATTTGGTGCACTTTAGACATTGCAGTATGAAAACAGCCGAACCAGGCGTTGTGCTAAAACAGTGGCAATCTTTATAGCACCAGTGCTAAATGCTCAAAAAGTTTACATACAGCAGTGAAATGGCAACTAAAACACCTCCCTGAATTAAAGTTTGTTGAGCTATCTCTGCTTGAGTGTAGCAGGAGTACATCTGTTTTGTCTAGTCTGTCTATCTGAAGCTTCAGCTTTATCTATGTGGCCTGTTTCAATACACACACACTGTCAGATATGACAGAGTGCAGATGAAATGGACGAAAAGAGTAGGGCTGTAACGACACATGAATTTCACAATACCATCTTTATTGTAGTTTTTGTACCACAATAATATAACACATTTTCCATTTAGGTGTATAAAAGAAATGACAGGATTCATTTTGCTTTTATTTTTTGTTAAATGTGTAACTGCCAAGGGTTCACATGAACCAGGACATGAAAATCATGTGATTTCCATAAAATGAACAATATCAATATTCATCCCCAACAGTGGCTACACATTCCAATATGAGTACATATGGTTTCTTGTTACAGTGTACAGAGTTTCTTGAGGGGAGCTCCTTTTGTTTGTTTGCTGCTTGTTGACTATCCATAGTTTGTCAGAGCTCTGTCCAGTGTAATCTGCTGAAGGTGCTTTGAATCAGAGGACTACATTCACTGAGCAACATACAGCATTCTGCAGCCTGGAGGTATGCATGGTTGGAAGGGTCAAACTAGGAAAATGTGTTGATGGTGTTTAAAGAATGAGTGGTGTTAGTAATTTAATCATGTGAACACATTAATAGTGTTTATTAAAAATGTATGTCATTTAATGAATGTTTTTAATAGAACAGTAGAAATTATTCTAACTTACATTAATACATCTGTTGCAAAATGTTTTATAGCATATAATTGCTACATAAAAATAAAAAGCTGTGTTCAGTTCACAGTGTGTTCTGTCTCCCATATAGAAAAGAATATCACTGTGTGTGTCATAGGACCTCTAGACTAGAGAGTTGGTATGGTAAGGGTGGTATGGGCTGCATCAAAGTGGAAAGAAGGGTATCTCTCTCTCTTTCCTTCTTTCTTGCTCTCTCATTGCCTTTCTCCCTTTGTCAGCTCAGGCATGCAGCCTTTATTCGATTAGTCCAGTCATCCCCTCTTGTATGCCTCAGATACTTCCCCCTGCTGTCCCTTCTCTTGTCCTTTGTATTCAGCTCAATGCGCAGCAGCAGAGCCTGACTTTGGGCAGTGCTTTGCCTTGAATGACGTAAATGACATTCTATAGGGGGACTGAGGGATAGGATAAAAAGAATAATCCTTGTAAAGAAGATGTTAGTGTAGTCCGGAGTATAGTGATAGCCTGAGGACATCCCACTGTCCACATAGTGGACTAGAAGTCTGAGCTTTCTCAGAGACTGGATATGCTTGTTCAAGCATTTTTGTGTCTCCAGGTAATGGATTCTACCTCCATATTAGGGCTATACAGTGAATTGTTTCATAGTCATTATCACGATATAGGCCTAGGCCAGGGGTCGGCAACATAAATGTTAAGAACAGCCATTTTGCCTTTTCGACCAAATCAAACCACTTAGGTAACCACAACATTTTACGTCCGTTTTACCATCTTGGCTGTAAATATGTCTCGGTATGTGTTAATGTACTAGTACAGGCTAAAAATATACTGTAAACAAAATCACAGACTTACTTTGCTCTGCTTTAAGTTTTAGCTCAGATATGGCCGCATTTCTTGCATCTCTAGCAGGAAACTTTTCCACAAAAGTAGAACAGTTTCTTGTAAAATGTCTCTCAACGTTTTGATTTTTACGAGGCTGAAGTCGCTTCTCATTCGCCAGCTTCTTGTTTGAATTTTCCCGTTCCACCTTAAATGGCGCCAGGATGTAACTACTGTACCATTTAAGGTGGAACGGGACAATTAAAATGAGAAACTGACGTCAGCTTCATGACTTTTTAGTGTTTGACAGATTAAAACATATCAGGAAACCAGCTGGAGTGATTATAAATGCAAATAAGTTAATTCTCCAAATTATCAATGTTCGTCTTAAATCTTTCTCTTGGCTGTTTTGGTAGGTACTAGCTAGGCGAGACTGTTGTCGTTGCTCTGGTGACCTGCAGCCTGCATGCCAACCTTTAGGGTCAAAGGGTAAAGTAGCAGTTATACATAAACTCCAGCGTTTAAGACCATTTATTGTTAAACTGTGTTGAACGAAGGAGGATTATTTTAATTTTACCTACAAATCTAATTCTGCTGTGGAGAAGTAAAAACAGGGCAGTTAAAAAGCTGCATGTTGCCGATCCTTGGCTTAGGCGATACTGATAACGCTTGTAGAAGGTTCAGTTTACATTGTGCAGCAAATGTCAAAAAAGTTTTGGCCAAAATGCTGCAGCCTGGTCATTTTCAGAGGGGCTGTATCTTACATTTGTATGTACATATTTTTCCCTGATTTCCACTTGAGGGAAGAATAGTATTATCATATTAATTCACTGACATGTAGTTTACTTACTGCTCTGTTGTAAATCACTTCATCACAGCTTCTCTCATGTTTCTGAGATTCACTGAGGAAGTGTCTGAGAACGGAAACACCTGGGAGGTGAAAAGCCACTTCCGTGTGTGTGTGAACAACACAGAAAATGCCACATGTGTCGGCTTGGCTGGAGACCTGAGGGAGGCATTATAAACACACCCAGAACACAATCAGGCATTTGTGTACACCCTTAAAAATAATCTTGGCTTAGATGTACTAGGTTGGCTTGGATGTTCTAGGAAAAAAACTGTAACTGGGCTAGAAGCTTTACATTATAGAGAATGTAAAACACTTATAATAATATCAACAACATTTAATAATTAAAAAAAAATTGTACATTTCAGCAGTTGTCATGGATAGATTTGGTAAAGTGTGTTAGATGAGTGCTGAATGATTTTGCTACATCTTGTGGCTAAACAAAACTAGACACAGATTCATTAAAATCAAATACGTTTTCTTTGGTTTTTAGTAAGTGCTGAACAAACTCGCACAAGCTAATGTTATCTTGTGTTTTACTTCATTTTCGTCCTGGCTTTGGAGCCAGTGGGAATGACGAAGCAGTATATCCTCACATTGTTACCAGGAAAAAGCATCTGTAGCCTCCAGGTTTTTTTCCAGGATTTCATAAGACCTGTTGGCACTTATAAAGGTTGTGTTTCAAGAGATTTTTTGATGTGTTCATATTTGAAGAAATATATTTAACAGCAGATGTTTGGCAACTGATTAAACAGGCAGAGTCAGGTGTGCTCTTGCTTCGACACCCCTGTTCTACAGCATCACTCCAAAAACCCATTTTGACACCTTTTATTTATAGGTGTGTGGCACAGACGTCATTTGCACCCCCAGTGACGAGTGTCTTAAACGTGAGACTCGGCAGCTGTTTATAAATCTTTCTTTCTTTATTTCTTTCTTTTAGGTTCTTTGCTCTGACCTCTTTGAGGCTGCTCTTCCTGTTGGCATCAGGATTGGCTCTGGCTGTTTGTGCTGACACCTGGCAGAACAAGATTTGGCCAAAGATCAAAGGTAGTTATGTGCAATAGCATTGTTACCATTGGCAGTATAACAATATGGTATCTTTATCAATTACATCCTGATATGCTTTTCGGAGTTATTATCAGTAATATCATACTGGATCATGAAAAAGACAATATAGATTTAGATTTGGATAGAACCTGTAAACGGCAACATTCAGTGTAGCTGACTGGCTGGCAGCCCGTTGTGCCATTAACTTTTATTTATATATATATATATTTCTCCTGTTACTTCTTGAATACTTTATTTTTGCAAATACTGTATAAAAAACTTGTAAAAATGGCTATGAGACATATATGATATCACAGTGCATATTGTGTATTGTGAAAATGTCTTTAAGTATCACTATGTTTTTGCCCTGTTGCCCAGCCTTACCTACTGTGATGATACTGACAGTCAAATCTATATTTGATATATTAAGTTTGATAATTCACATGAGGATATTTAGTGTAGATTTAACAGATAATAGACATTTTTTATATTAGATCTGCTGAACTTGGACTAATTCACATCCTCAGTTTCTTAATCAGTAACACCATTAATACCTTCTCCAGAGGTCATAAACTTTGAGCATTCCCAATTCTGACCTTGATAGAGGTCATATAATAGCATACACATGACACCAGAATCTGTGTGACACACAGGTTTCCTTACATGCATGTGTTTGTGTCTGTTCACAGTGAGGCGACAAGATGAGAGCGAAAATGAAAGGTAATGTGTGTAATTATTGTTCCAAATTGGGACTGTCATGATTAATCGATTAAAGTCAGTGATTAAAATGTACCTTCTTGAGAACTGGCAATTTATTTATTAGCTATTTTTATGATGAGAATGCATATTATAAATAGTCATACTGGTCTTAAACTGCGACTGATGGACACCCATTTATTAGCATTTTTTTGTCACCTGAAAGGCCAGTTTTTTGGCTTTTTAAATAAACTCTCACTCACTTGAAATTACTCAAAATTGCTCAAAATAATTGTTATATTACTTTTGTGGCTAATGTACTCAATATCCACAACCTTAATTTAGGTGAGCGCTCATAGTGTGGTGGGTTTGCACTCTTGTTTGCAGAGAGAGTAATCTTAATAACGTAATAGCATGTTTATGTATTGGTTTGGCAGCTGGGGTCTGGTGCAGCCGGGGACTCTGAGTGTGCCTGAGTTGTGTCACCACATGGCTGAGTTGTGGGTGACTGGGTCGTCATGTGCAGCTGACATTGCACGGTTTAAACGGCATAACCCAGGGAAGGTGAGGAATTTTCAGTTTAATCCAGTATACTTTAGTGTCTTTTACTGCAAGTTTGTCTTCGTGCGACTCACCATCACATCTAACGAATTAAGTGTAAACCTCTATAAGTTCCAGTCCTAAAATATGGCTGAGCTGCATTCAAAGCAGTTGTAATATAATCAATACACATACACGCCTATGACCGCCTTACAACAGCTGAATTGTGTATTAAAACCAAGTCACTAAAAACCACTGGGCTGTTAATGGGATAATGTTAGACTGTTATGATGCTCTCTTGAACCACAAGTGTATTAATAGATGAAGTTAGAATCCGGTTCTGTTTAAACTAAAGAGTTGACAACTTATTTTCTTAACTAGAACTGGACTGATCAGCTTAACAGACTAAACGGTAGCTTACAGACTAAACAGCTCTTATATTAATATTAGATTCTAAAGTATTTATCATGTTTCACTGTAAAACCGACAAACAGAGTAAAACAGTAAAGAATGTCACTTGAATATCTTACCTGCTTCAGATGGCCGTGTTTTGGTCAGATCTGTCTAAAGTGTCTTTAAATGCAGGCTGAATGGTACCTGATTCTGTAAATAGCGCACTATGCCATTTAGGGGATTCTTACATCTTCACCCAAACGCACTTTTTCATTCCAGTATGAAATTGTACATATGTGGCTGAATCCCAAATAACTATTTGTGATGCATTATGCACTGTTTGGGTGCAGAAACCAGTATTTTAATTCAATAAAGTATTTTTTGGCCAAAAATAAAGAGCTATTTTCAAATGTGAAACAGAAATAATGAAAAATGTACATGTAAAAATGGTAATAAAAAAGTTTGGAACATACTTTTTGTTGTTTGTCTGTATTCCACTACTGGGCAAGTAGCTCATCTGTAAACATTTGCTCAGTGTATATTTTAAAAAAAGAATTCTAAACCATAGCAAAATAATTGAATTGAGGTAAAATTTGAGATTTCAGATTTATTTTCAAATTTTCAATTTTTAGCACAGGACTCTCCAGACATGTATCATGTTTGCATTTCTTGTTTTAATCTGTACCGAGCGTAAAAACAAAGGTTTATACAGTTTTTTTTTTTTTAATTGAAATGCATGGTGTTGCAACAGAATGCCACACTGATCCGTCAGTCCGCCTGCACAACAAGACGAGTTGGTTCAGATATTTGTTGTTGATGAGAGAAACTCATAAGCCTAATTTAGACTTGAACTAAAGCCAAGAAGCAAACCTGAGTAAGCCTCGGGTGCTCGTATGACAGTCAGTCCTCAGGAGTTTCCTGCTGTGTATAACAGGTCCTTTAATTAATTATTATTTTTAAATTCGTCACACCTAAATATTTAAGACCACTTTAGATGGGACATCTGTTAGTTCTGCTGAAAACAGGAATTTCATATCCTCATATGTGTGATCATGTGTGTCACTAGCTGTTTGGTGTTCACGTGTAATCAGTTATTTGTGAATTCTGCAGTTCTGTATGCTGGTCTGTGGCCTCTTCTCCCTCCTGGCCATGGTGGGACGCTACATTCCTGGAATAGTTCTCTCCTATGTTGCTGGTGAGTAAAGGAATTACAGTCATGATAACTTGATTAAAATCAATTACTCAGTTTTAAAAGGTTATAAATTAAAATGAAAATCTTGGCAAATCAGCAGTGATGAGTTGGCAGCTTGTATGATGATACTGCATATATTTCAGTTCTCTTTCTGCTCCCTCAGAGTGAGAGACTGTCTGATGGACGCAGCCATTTAAATGTATTTTTGTATTTTTTGCCACTTATTGTCTTTTTCTGATAACACAGTCTGTAATCTATGAAAAGCTATGCATGGGTCGTTATTGTTCGGATACTTTCTTTTTGTGGTCTTTTATTTATTTATTTGTTTAACTCTGATCGATTGACTAATTGTGAAAATAATGGGTTCATTTCAATACCATAGTGTATGGAATTTACATTTAAAGTCAACCTGAAATCAAAATTGACCCTGTTAATGTTCATGTTCCTGGTCATATTAAGTAAGATTCATAATCCGATTCAGAATTTTGCTCTTTTCTAGAGAAACTTATAGAGTCAGAATTGTTCACATTGGTGGTCATAGGAACCAGATGTCCAGAGTGTTTAATGCCTTTCAAAAGACACATCACAGAACGCTTTTACGTGGAATTGTTACAAATATGCTGTCTGGTGCCTAATATATTGTTTAATGCCAATTTTGAGATGAGATTTTGGCCTAAAACCCTTTTTTTTAATCCAGAGAAATGCATGCGGGGCATTGTTGTGTAGTCTCTAAAGAAGATTTTTAATGTATTTTCTGTATTTCCATTGTACAAGTTTATTTACAATAAACCATTTCATCAGACCACTCTAAGGCCCATTCCCATTTCTTCTTTTTACCCCTACCCCTTGCTTTCGAGTGTCACCCTGACCCCTTGGAACTGAGTTACAAGGGGTAGTGGTTGAAATCTGATGAAGTGGGACAAACAAAACATTGCTTCATTAACAGGCTACTAGCGGTGCTCTGCAGGCAACCTGGCCCGTCCTCAGTGATAGCAGAGAAGGGAAAAGTTCAGCAACCTCACTGCTGGGCTTTAGTTACATTTAGGTCATCATGTGCTTTCAAAGAGGGGGTATAAGACAATTATTTATTATCACCCACCGCTAATTCTTTGGTGATACAAAGCTGAAGTCAGATATTCACCAGCTTCTTATTCGAATTTTCCCGTTCCACCTTAAATGGTGCAGCAGTTACATTGTGGTGCTTCAGGCGTCAGAACTGCTGGACTATTTAAGGTGAAACGGAAAAGTTAGCTAGCTAGCTACCGAGACATTAGCAGCTTTTTATGCTTGTTATGAAGAAAAGGACCATAAAACAGTGAAACAACAATAAACTAAGATAATTCAATGGTTATCGTAATGTTTTAACGGAGAAAATTCTCACATTTATGAGTTTCTTTGGTCGCTCGTGCGGCCATCTTGCCAGTTTTTCTTTTTTTCTTTTTTTTCCCCTAATAACGCTCTGTTTGGAGTGTGCCTCTGAAAAACCTCCGTTTAGAGGGCCATGTAGCCGTAATACTTCGCCCTACCCTTCTATCTCAACAAAAATGGGAACACCCTACCCTGAGACGTGAACGTGCAAAACAGAAGGCTAAGGGCTAAGTGGTAGGGGCAAGGGGTGAAATGGAATTGGGCCTAAATGACTTTGCTTGCATCTCAGCAATTGATTTATGGAGTAATTTTCAAAAACCCTTCTTATTAACAAACATTATGTCTCATTTAAACTCTTGAGCTCCTGGTCAGTTAAGTTGCTCTTTGTCTATGATCAGAATGTTGGAATAAAAACTCTTATCTTTCTGTCTCTGCAGTACTGAGTCTGCTGTTTTGCCCGTTGGCTGTGTATTATCGGCTGTGGCAGCATGCATGTGTGAGGCTGGAGCCAGCCCTGCAGTGGCTGGACTTCAGCGTCAAAGGATACATGATGTCCAAGCCTATAGACAACCAGTGTAAGTAAACTGCATTTATTTATGTCTTATTCACACTTATTAACATTTATGAGGGATCCCCGTATGAAGACTGTTAGAACAGATGTTTAGCTGATTTTTAACATAAAGATTGTGTAATACTGCTGCTAATACTGATCTCCTGAGTATCACCGGATACCAGTAGTGGTCCTGTATTCTATAAAATGTCGCCTGTGCAAAAGTTGTGGCACATTTTCTATTTTATATTTTTTCTCACTATGTTAAACTCAGCAAAAAAAAATTGTTACAGTTTCCTGTAGATGTTTTATCTTAGAGGATGTTATACCTTGAATGTCAATTTGTATCAATACTAATATTGTTTTTCTGTAAAATAATTTGGCTTTAAAATGAGCTATTTTTAATTACATCACTTCATATATATAAATATTGTGGATATTGTAAGAACTTACAGAACACTGACCAACTGCAATTGCCTAGAGAGCTTAAATAGTGTTTAATTAGTTTATTGCAGCAGAATATGTAACACATTGAATACAAATCACTGTATTTATAGTTTATAATAGTATTTTTAAATGTGATACTACTGGTTCTGTTTTCTGATATAACTTCTGAAACCCCTGAAAAATGAAATATCATTACGCATATTGCCTGTTGTGAAAATGTCTTGAAGTATCATGATCTCATTTCTCCTTGTTGCTCACTCTTACACTTAAGCTATTCTTTTTTTCAGGCTAGGTTTGTTACAGAATCAGATTTTTTCCCCCAGCCCAGTATTTTCTGGTGATTTAGGTTTGATACGAGTACTAAGTGTCAGATGAATGTGTTCTGATCCAGTGCCATTGTCTTTCCTTTTGTGGTTTTGAATTTTAATGACTGCAGTAGCTTTCAGCACTGGTAGTAGTGGATAATCTCTGTGCTAAGTCCATTATCATGGCTTGCTCAGCTTGCTCACTGTCAGTCAGCTCTGCCGTCACCTGTTGGAGAGAACTCAAGAGTCACTGACCCGGGCATGTGTGACCTTTGACCTCTGTGTGCATGTGTGTTTGTAGTTCTTCGCAGGCCGATTAGGAGCGGAGCCTCGGATGACGCCACCGACAGCGAGGAGGAGCTAGCGGCCTTCTGTCCAACAGTAAGAGCACTTTCCGCGAAGGGCTAAAGGGGATGTGTCCTGTGGCATATGTATGTAGGGTCACAGCAGGGCCAGGACCACAGCGCAGGGAGATTTAAACCCTAGAGGTCGAGAGTTATTATTTATGTTTTTGCTATACTGTTAAAAGGTAATTGTTACATATTTACATATTTCTGTATTTAACTACATGCTGAGTTATGCAACGAAATCTATTTTTAATTACTTTGTTTCCCCGATGTCAAGCAGTAACAAAAATTCTGTATGCACAATAGACGTGTGCAGATATTCAGTAATTCGGTGTACTGCGATATTAAACAAGCACTGTAACAATATCTTGGACGCTTTAAAATACCGTCAATGGAATTTAGTCAAGCTTCTCACTGTTTCTCACGAACACAGGTATATTTGCAGTTACAAACTTGTATATGACTTGCGTTGTGTATATGAGGTAAAAGGCACGAAAGCATAAGAACTCGGCTTTGCTTAACAAGCAGTAAGGCAGGCTGCTAAACAGGCAAATCCACTAGAGTTAAGTTTTAAGATTATATATTTTCTGTATGATTTGCAGTAAAACGTGTGAATCATAAAACATACAAAGTAAAAAAGAAGTTACCTGAACTCAGTGAGGGGGTGGTAAAAACTCCAGTGTTGTAATGGAAAATATAATATTACTGCTAGCTTGAATTAACATTATCATTGTGGCTATTTTTTTTTATTAAACAGAAGCTTCTAATAAAGGTGTCCTTACTAAGCCAGCTATATATCGAGTTATACATTATGATTAAATGATACAGCACAGTATATGCAATGTATATGTTGGTACACTGTATCATACAGTCTCCGTATAATAATGATGCACAGTGAGTATTGTTATGTTTACAACTTTCTATGTAAATTTTTATTGATTATTGTAAATATTGCACACATACAGTGCTATTTAGAACAAACATCATTCAGAATGCATCTGACATTAAAATGTAGTTTTAAATGTAGATGTTTTAATGCAACATTGTGATATAAACTGATAAAAGGTCAAGTAATTATCGTATTTTTTAAAATATTTTCAACATATTTTTATATACATTTTCAAAAATTAAGTATCTCCTCTTCTAGTGGCCGGCACAAATGAGTGTGGATTAAATGTTCTGAATTTACACATCTGACTGATTTCTTCTGCTTGGTTCTTGGTGTGAGAATTAATGCTGAGTCACAGCATCTTTTATTTATCACTGACAATAACTGCAACTTCTAAGAGTTAAGTGTTGTAACGGTTGTACCTACAGAGAAAAACATTATTCCTATTCCTACTTGTTTGACAAGTAGATAAGCTTTCAAGGTTGACACTTGAATATTGGCTAATTTTCAGTTTTGCAACTTGGCTTTCTTGCTATCGAGCTTGCAAACAGTTATTCAGGTTATTCTTTTTAACCCATGCTGAGTTAAAGAAGAGTTGTTGACTGTTAATTGTTGTGGGCACTAAATAATACTGGAAAGTAGTTCTTTGTACCCCTTGCAAATAGCCTGTAGTCCACAATATGGCCCCATAAGGTCACTGCACAGGTTTAGGTGAGATATAATTACTGTGAATTTAGAAAAAAAAAAAAAAGAGTTTTCTCATGTCTAGAAACCCTCAATTAATTTTGTAGATTAGAGCAATGTGACACAAACACTGGGAAAATTGTATGAAATGCAAAAAAAGGCATAACAACCTCCAACCCTTTCACATCCCAAGCAAGTGAAGCCTTGTGAACTTCTTAAAAACAAAACCTTGAACTGTGTACAGTCAGCAGTGTACAGTAAGCAGAGTGAGGATTAAGGGAAGCCCTTATTAGTGCCCTAAATTATTGCTGAACAGTAACACTTTTGTTCTGAATATTCTGAACCTGCAGTTTGATGAAGCAGTGGTTGCTAAGGAACTAGCACTGACGGATTCAGAGCACTCAGATGCAGAAGTCTCGTACACAGAAAATGGCACCTTTAATCTCTCCAGGGGACAGACTCCCCTCACTGAGGGCTCAGAAGGTAAGACCACATGTTAATTAAATTTAAACCATCTTTGCTTGTGAAGTATTTTGTTTCACAGCATTCCTGTAAATTGGTAGTGGTTAACTCAAATGCTTGACCTTTATTTTGTATGTTGTTTGCCTCTGACCATAAGCTTGATAACGTACGCTGCATTTTTTCCCTTTTTATCTCTGCCTACTGTAACTTATGCATATTCTTTCTGGTTATATATTTAAAAAATATTTTCCTTTTTTTTTGTTTTTTTGGAATAATAATCGAGTTTGAGGTTCTATGTGAACATTGTTAACATTTCAAAACATACCATTAGCTTCTTTGTCCATATATGGGATGGGAACTATGTTTTCATATGTATCTATGTAATTATTCAGCCTATAGTTTAGCCCCACCCGTTCATGCTGAAGTTACATACAGAGCTAATTTACATATTTCAGTCTTAAAGGTTAAGGAGAGCTTGGGAAATGATCATATAAACATGAATCATGACTGTTTTGGTACCTAAACCCAGACAGATGTTATGAAAAAATCTCTAAGAAAACGGAGATGTTTTCTTTCTCATCTAGACTTGGACAGACATAGTGACCCAGAGGAGTCATTTGCCCAGGACCTCCCAGACTTCCCCTCAATAAACCCGGACGCCACCCTAATGGAGGATGACGACGACCCCAGCCTTGGCCTGCCTAGCCTGGGCTCGGCTGGCCTGTCCGGTCCCCGCGGCTCCACTACCTCTGCTTTGCTGGACCTGGACGCCCAGCTTGACTCGGACCAGGAGGACCTGGACCTCTCTCTGGGTGCCCTCAACATGACCTCTGACCTCAGCAGCGACCTGGCAGGGATTCTAGCCAGCAACATGATCCAGGCGGCGCTCACGGGGGCCATGCAGCCCCGACCGCCGCAAGGCCCACGCAGGGAGGGTCCTCCCAGGGCTGGGGCAATACGCAGCTACAGGAAGCAGTCGAGTTCAGAGCTGGACACGGACCTGGACTTGGAAGGAGAGGACTTTGAAATGCTGGACCAGTCTGAGCTGAACCAGATGGATCCTTTAGGGGGTGCCGGCGCGCGAGGAGCAGGTCAGGGTGACCAGAACAGAACCCAGGGGTCCAGCTTTCTGTCAAACCTGCTGGGGAAGCCGCAGTGAGCCCTGAGTGTGTGGTGGTTTGTGTAATGCACATCTACCTATATCTCCACCTTTTTACCCGTCTCTTCTCCATCCCTCATGTTTTAATCAGTGTGGAGCACGTTTGAGGTTGCGTCAGGGTGTGGAAGCGTGTCTGTACTTGTGTTTGAGTGAGAGAGAGACTATTTGTTTTTGCACGGTTAATGAATGTGGTATTAGCTCCCACTGGCCAGTAACCTTTCCGCTGGCTACAGGCAATCACTGTGAAGTAATCTTATTTTTAGTCTTCTTCTCTGGTGTTTTTTGTCTTCTTACATATGTATGAAAGAGAGAGAGAGAGAATGAATCATGTCTAAAAGACCCCAATTTATTTTGTAGGCAAAGCAATAGGACATAAATACTGGGAAATTATCTGAAATACTACAAAAACCAGCATAACAAACCCTGAACCTTTTTGCAACATCCCAACTAAGTGTAACTGAGCCTTATTAATCTTTTAAAGGGGAATTCCATGCTTGTATCAAAACTTTTACGTAATTGAAGTGGCTAAGGTGTAAATAATATCATTTAGAGTGGTTTGATGCGAAATGCTCCGTTCTAGAGAAAGAATTGTTCACAATGGTGGTGATGGGAAGTGTTTAACGCCTTTAAAAGCTCCCTCACAGGATGTTGTTACATGAAATGTTATGAATATGCTGTTTGATGTTTGAGACACTGTTTAATATTTTAAAATCCATTCATGGTGGAGAGGTACATGCAGGGCATTGTAAGGCAAAATTGTCCCCAAAGAAAACTTATTTTACTCTATTTTACCACTATTATTTTTCACTGTGTATCATCATTTTATTATTATCAGTATTACTTTTAAAACTCAGACACATATAGTTCACTGGTTATTTTGGATTGTAAATAAAAAGGCTATATTTGTATGCATTTTGTATACATCACAAAATTTCATTCAACGCCACTGTAAAGAAATCTGATACGTTTTATTGATGGGAAATTAACCATTTCACATCAAACTGCTCTGAATGACTTTATATACATCTCAATCATTCAGCTATGCAAAAGTTTTTGAAACTTGGTGGAATTACCCTTTAAAGACAAATCTATACATTATGTACAGTCAACACTTTGCTGCCTAATGCATTTCACTCATGATGGGACCAAGTCAGACATTCCTGCATTTACTCTGCTGATGTAGCTTAAAGACATCCCATAAAAGCAATACACGGTAAGGCTACTGGAAAGCATTGGTGTTAAACCCCATTCAGGAGTGACTGTAACGTGCAAGCCAGTCCATACTGCAGTAACAAAGGCTTATGAATAATAATAATAATAACAAAGCTCCCCAGCTTACATGTACAATATGCTTTCTGTTTGTAAACTCGGAACTAATCCTGGAGCGGCTATGTCAGATAATGCTTGGAGCTTTTGTGCACAATCTAGCTATTGTGAGTCTTGCCAGAATGTCATTCACATTTGGGGCTTTTATTCTTTTCATTTTCCATTTTCTAATTTTATTTTCTCTTCCGTTTGCTTTTGTGAATTTTACATTTGCGTTTTTGATTGGAAATGAAAATCAAGGCCTGTGGAGAGAAAAGGGGTCATTCCATGTTGAGACTAGGGCTCAATACACCTTATTTTAGAAACTTAAATAGCAAGTGAGACACAACTACAGTAAAGTGGATCTTCTCAAATTGTTAACATAAAAAATAAATCCCACTGATGTAGCGCAACAGTTCCACCAGTCCCCTCTTGTAGTGATTTTACACTGAATGACCCAGAAATTAGAAGTCAGTATTAGTGAAGGATTCCAATTCCTGATTTCTTTATAGACAAATTGGCAAATGTTTTATATTTTTAATTCAATTTTTTGGCTGAATTATACTGGCCTTTTTTTTTTTTAACTCGAGGATCACACTGAGTGGGCTTCAAGAATGCGTGAAACCCACAAACATTTCCAGTATTTTCTATTAGCCAAAGTCACAGTATAAACAGCAGAATTTGCTGCTGTCTAATGGCCAAATTGGCATTTTAAATTCTTAAATGAAAAATCAGTTGGCTATTTAAATGACATGAATAAATAAAATACTACACCGAAAAAGTAATATGCTGTGGGCTATTTAGCACACGAGTCATGCATGCAGTCATATGCAAAAGTTACATTTTGTCAAATTACATGTTGAATTAAAAAGAGACAATTAGTTGAAAGATCCTCTGCAGGGAACTTAAATATGGCATTTTCTGCTAGTGCACAATTTCCAGTTTAAAAAGTAGAAAAACAATATATAACATATCGTAACTTCTGCACAATATTTTTATATATAACCTCATATCTCCAAAATGAGAACTTTACAGTAGAAGGCAAAAACATATATATAATATATTTTCCAATATGTTGAATTCAGCAAATAAACATGTTGACTTATTTTCACTTGCAAATGAGCCAAACATTACCGCTGGGCACCAGAACTTTTGCATACGACTGTAATTAAGGCTGCAGCATTTTGGTATAGGTGTAACAGCAGCATTCAAATACATTGCAAGTGCAGTTACCTCACATTGTTTTTTACACCATGAAAGCGCAACACAAATAACCAAAATCAAAATAGTATGTTACGCAAATGCTGATCACGTTTGGAGCAAAATCGTGCCGATTTCAGTCTCTGCTGATTACACTCGTGAGTTGTTTCACTGCTTTATCATCCTTGATTCTGTCTGCTATTGTTTATGTAAAACATTAGATCTTCTGTCAAAGAAACAGATGCAGATTTTACTCCTATAAAACACAGTGTGTTGACTGTGTGTTGACTGTGTGTTTGATTGCACACAAATTGTTCAGTTCATTGATGGTCCAGTTTTTCCCACGACAGCATTTCAGCGTTTCAGGTTGATTATTCCTTTATGTTGGCACAGTCCTGTTCTAACCAGAATTCTGCAAGTGCAGGCAAATACAAACGTTTTGGTGCCCCTGGTCAACTGACATTTTTGTGATATTCTATGTGAAGATAAGTTAACACGTCCTCTAGAGAGAGAACACACTTCTGTACATTTTAATACTTAATCACTGTTTGTTTACTGAATTTAATCCGAAATTGGAAAAACAAACTAACGTGGCCACAAAGTGCGAAAGTTACAGCACATCTTATTTTTAGCATTTCATCAGTTTCACTTAGAAAATGAACCAAACACAGATTCACCCAGGGAGCTTAAACATTTGCGTATGCAGATTAGTCTTTCTCAAACAAACAAATCCAAAAACCAGAGAGATGTGATCAAACTGGATTCACTGCTTTTTTAGCACAATCAGATTCTTGTCAGTTTTGCAGTGAAATAGTATGAGATGCTGATATTATCACTAAACTCACAGCAGCTGAAACTTGTCCAGACTCATTTCTACCTTATCTCTGTAGTGATTTCCAAGGAGAGTCATTTTTCTGTACTTGGAAAAGAGTTAAAACATAATAGAGACAAAGGGTAAATGCTAAAGCACACACCCCTTAGCTTCATTATAATTGAGAAAAAATTGAGAGTTTTCTGCTCTCGTATGAGGTGCAGTCAAAATGATGGTCTATGATAAGTGACTGTATGCAGCAATGGGAATGTAGGCAGTGTGGTTAGTGTCTTTTCTGACACGTTGATTGAGGCGTTGCTAATGTCTCTACCTCTAGCATCTCAGCTTTGATTTACAGTGTAAACCCCTCTGCCTGGACATAGGCTTCATGTGTTACAGGGCTTTAGCTACCTGTATAAACACTGTGATATCTCACCGGTAGAAGAAATCACCCTATCAAGGCTTTTTTTCCTTTTACCAGCTCTATCTGCAACCTTTCTGCACTTTAAGAGCTCAATGTACAATTCTTCCCTCACTATATATACACCTGCACGGAATCGCGGTCATAACAAAACCTCTTAATTGCATTTTTCTCTTTTCTTTTTACACCATTTAAAAACACCAGCTGCTCTGTGAACATTTCATGATGAATGGTCTGATAAAAATGGTCCACAGTTACTCAGAAGAATGTAAAAAAAATGTAATGTAGTTTCCTTTTTCTTTAGAATTGAAAATCAAACAGAAGATCAAATTCCAAAACAAATCGATCTCCAAACAGATGTGAATGTCACCTTTACTCTGTACAGACAGGTGGCAAATTAAAGGAAAAAACGAGTGTAGATGCTTCCAGACAAGCATACTGCATGACACAGTTTAGCAGTGAACATTAGTGATGCACCGAAATGAATTTTTGACCAAAATCAAAATTTAGGACATGCTCAGCTGAAAGCTGAAAGAAAGGGTTCTTTTATTTGGGCTTTTATTTGGTTGATACATTTGAATTAACAAAATACTGACAATGCTTCAAAAGCGACATGTTGAGAAAGAGAACTGGAGAACTAATTGCATTTTAAATTGCTTGTTAAAAAATATTAAATATTATTGTGAAATTCTAACAATATAATACTTCCTGGTTTCCCAAAGGCTTTTAAAGCTGAATTTCAGAGCGTACCTGCTGTAACGGCGTCACCTCATTTTTTAACATATGGACGTGGCTTTGGAACTCCAGCCTAGCAGTCTGACATTTCTCCAGCAGGGGGTGCTGTTAGCACGCAAGCCAGTTTATCCGCTTTACCAGTGCAGGAGAGCAAAGAAAGCAAACAGCGTTTTAATCGTTATTTCTTCTTTATATTACCCGTTCACATTATGCGTTAAATGTTAACTTTTAGATTTCTTTAATCCTTTCTGTATTTTGGCCTGAAGTTTCTGCCTTTTTTCTCTCTTGGCTGAAAACCAGAAGTAAAAACATTTTTGGTGGCCAAATTTTCGGTGCATCACCAGATCTCAACCCATCTCAACCCAGTCTCTTACGGTGCCGACACGGTGGTGCCTGTCCACCACCAGCAAAACATTAATCAAGGGAGTATCTTTTGGAAGAATGGTGTTCTATACCTCCAGTACAGTTTCACAGACTTGGAATCTATGCCAGGGATCGGCAACATGCGGCTCTTTTACTGCCCTGTTGCGGCTCCACAGTAGAATTAGATTTGTAGGTATAAAAAAATAATGGTCCTTTGCAGTAAAATAAAGCTCTGCTTATCATTCAAACACAGTTTTTACAATAAATGGTCTTAAATGCTGGAGTTCATGTATAATTGCTAATTAGCCCTTTAACCCTTAAGGTTGGCACACAGACTGTTCACCATAGCAACGCAGACAACGGTCTCACCTAACTAGTAGCTAACGAAATGGTGAAGAGAAAGATTTAAGACGAACCTCAATAATTTGGAGACAAATAGACTTATTTCCATTTATGAGTGCTCAGCTTAAGTCAGCTTCTTATTTGCCAG